AGTTCTGTTCAGATAATCATCTGTTCCTAGTCAGCACTAACTTTAGGCACAAAGAGAGACATCACATAATCTGGCGACCTCCATCACCAAATCAACACTGAACTCAGATAGATCATATAGGGTATTGTTGGCGAGGGTCATTAGAAGACTGCCGCTCCTTCTGGTTCGCGCACGTTTATGTTTACGACTAAACGGACATAAGAAATTGACAGCAGCGAAACAGCTACATCCCCAACTAGGTGAAGACACCGAGTCCCTATTTAAGGAAGAAATAGCGAAAGGAGTTTCTGAGGTCGACAGCAGGACTTCCCCTGAGGTAGCCTGGCACAACATAAAGTTAGCTGTAGACACATCTGTAATAGCTGTTAATAAGCTAAAACCAAAAGTTATTAAGAGCCATTGGATCTCTACCGCCTCATCCGAACTGATTGACGCAAGAAAACTGATTCCGGCGAGCTCCGATTATGATGAGGAGCGAAAGCTACTCAAACAAAAACTAACAAGAAGTCTTCGCAACGACCGTGATGAAAGCGAAAGAAATGGAAAAGGCATCGGCGATTGGTAACACCAGACAACTACTTAGGCGTATCGGGGAAACAGGTGGTAAAAGGCAAACGATAAGTGAAACAATCTCTGAGAAAAATGGGACCATAATTATCTCCGAGGATAGACGACTGGAGAACACTGGGAAAAAACACTATGAGGAGCAATTTTTATTTTATTTATTTTGATTTTGATTACAGCTTGATTCCGCACCGTATTTTTGGTACAGGTATGGAATTTTCAGCATGTGATATCGGTAGCCCATAGATATCAGGTGTGCGTCGGCAGGGGATCGAACCCCGGACCATGTGCATGGTCGGCGAGAGTCCTTATCGCTGTGCCACCGACCCACAGGCCTACATCCACGCTCAACTTGCCGAACATCCAACACCTCCGTGAGTCGGATATAGACACAGGTCCTCCCTCCCTAACCGAGGTTACTAAGGCTGTCAGTAGTCTGAAACGAGGCAAAGCAGCAGGACCTGATGGAATGACTCCAGAGGCATATAAATACGGTGGTGACAGCTTACCGTCTGCATTAACTGAGGTACTAAGAAGCGTCTGGGAATCAGAGGAGATTCCTTCGGGTTGGTGTAAGTCACTGATTATCCCCATGTACAAGAAGGGAGACAAGTCTTCCTGTGATAATCACAGAGGGATTAGCTTGATTAATATAGTATCTCAAGTCCTAGGCTCAATAATATTACGTAGACTAAGTGGTGCTCGGGAGGCACAAACACGAGAGAGACAGGCCAGGCTTTAGTCCAGGAAGAGGGTGTATTGATCATATCTTCACCCTCCGACAGATTCTAGAACATAGTCATTCCTACCGGCGTCCAACAATCATTATGTTTCTTGACCTAAGGGCAGCATTCGACTCTGTCGATCGAGAAGTTTTCTGGAGATGTGTGTATGTAAAGGGAATTCCGAGAAAATACATTGCGCTGATCAAGACACTCTACTCGAACTCAAGCAGCCAGGTGAGGGCTTACGGCGAGTTGTCATCTGAAGTGGTGACGACTAGTGGTGTCCGTCAGGGATGCCCACTATCCCCATTTCTATTCAATTTCATCACAGATGTTCTTATGGACTTAACCCTAAGTGACTTCAGAGACTCAGGGATTGACTTGCTACCAGAGAATAATCTCGTTGACTTAGAATATGCAGATGATATAGTCCTTCTAGGCGAGGACGCTGACGAAATGCAGAGTCTTCTAAACACCTTGAGCTGCAATCTACGAATGTTTGGCATGCGATTCACTCCCGCTAAATGTAAGATGATTTTACAGGACTGGACTACACTGACTCCTAGATTAGAAATAGGAAGAGAAGTGGCAGAGCACGTTGACCACTTCACTTACTTGAGAAGTATCATCAGCCCCAACGGGCTGATCTCTAACGAAATCTCCGCACGAATACAGGGGGCTAGTTTCGCATATGCCAGTTTACGCCGTCTCCGGCGTAGAAGTGATATCCGGCTATCGACCAAGGGGCGAGTGTACTGCTCATCAGTCTGCTCCATCCTCCTTTATGGCTGTGAGACCTAGCCACTGAGAGTGGAAGACATGAAAAGATTAGCTGTCTTTGATCATAGGTGCCTGCGTTCTATTTCCCGTGTGAAGTGTTATAATAGGTGAGCAACATTGAGGTTAGGCGTCGAGTTCTAGGTAACAGGGGAAATCAATCGACGAGGTTGTGAAGTTACATCGACTGAGACGGTTAGGACATGTGTTACGTATGCCCAGTGATCGCCTTCCTCGACGGGCAATGTTAGCTGACATAGGGTCAGGCTGGAAAAGAGCTAGCGACAGTCAAACCGAAACCTAGCACCACTCAATGAAATCCACAACAGTTAGTTTAAGTCAGTCACGTAGGAAGGTGTAGATTTCCTGACTGGTTGGGGTCCTCGGGACGGTAAAAACCAATGAGGGCTGAGACAATTGGTGATATGGCTCAAAATCGTTCTCAATGACAGCGCAGATGCATCTACTTCTTGTGACTTATAATACCCAAAGAAACTATGTTGCTCTTCGTTATTACTATTCCTTTTGTCTCATATCCCTGTTTACTGTCTCTATTATGCATTTCTTCTACTTTCTCCTCTTGCTTTGTGTGCTACATGGAGTGTGGCGACTTGAACTGCCGCACATATGTGCTAAGTTCTATGTCGAAAACAGACAGACAGTGAATTTTGCATATTTTGTGAGAGCCAGTGACTGTTTGGAGGCAACAGCGTCAAAGCAGGTAAACATACTTAGCAAGAACATTCACAAAATCGTCTGTGACTTCCTACTTTGAGAAATTGAAGGAAATCATTGCAGCCACTGTATTCGGCGTACACCTTGGAGAGGCCAAATATCACAAATCAGACCTGTAACCCCGACCTTCAACCACCAGACTAACATTAAATCGGTATCAGTAATAACCTTTATGACTTTCGACGTACTATTGAAAGTTCATCCTCTACCCTTCCGTCGACATTCACACTTCTCTTTAGATGCACTAACTATTCGAATTGTAACGGTTTACTCATGAGGGTGGTTGACGACACAGTCTTCTACCAATCTAATATTATTTAACGCCCAGACAATACAGAGCATGCCTACAGACAGTAACCAATTGCGAAAAGCTGTTTGTTAACACACAACAGGATTGATTTGCTTGCATAATGAATGCCGAAAGATGTTTCCACACTCTTCTCCACATTCAGTCGTGAGTAAATTGGGCGGTTTCCTAACTTCAATAATTACTTCATAATTAAATAAATAAAATTCAGTAGGATTCTCATTGTCGTATCTATAACTTTATCTTTTCATTTCAGCTCACTGGACTGAAAAAGCCACTTACGTGCTATTCTGGGGTGGAGCATCAGTCCTTTCTGCTCTTGCAATATTTACCTACGGTGAAGAGTTTGTCGATCGGCCACGATTTTTTCCAGACTAAAGAATTCGCCAGTTTACGTCGAAGTAAATGAGCAAACATGCAAACACGATCGTCAATTTATTCCTTTTTCCCTGAATTCTTTTTATTAAAAAAACACATCTGCTTCAAATTGACATAATTTTTTTCACTGAAGGACTTCGTGTTAATACGCTTGACGAATTGTTGTTATAGGTTACTGAATGCAGTTAGTACAATCTTGTGTATGTGATATGACAGAAAAAAGCCGTAGCAGTTTCTTTGCTGATGAACAGGTTTGACCTCAAATTCGATGTTGTTTCACGTTTTCTGAATCATGTCACTGATAATGGGTTTTACTTTTCTTTGTCTGTCTGTTTGACTCATTTATGTGTGTGTATGTATTTGCTTTTCTACTAAATTGACTGATTCACACATTAGCACTTCTTGGTGTCAATATATGATTTTTTAAAGATTACCTACACAACTGTGATGTGTTAACGATAACATTCTATTGATTGAAAGGGGTTTTTCTATTACGAACATATTTGATGAGAATAAATATTTTCTGTGAAACTTTCCTACAGACTTATACTTTCTGAAATCTCAGGCATCACTTCAGGTTGTTACTCCTCGCGATAATAAATAATAATACTCATGCCGCCAGCTTTCTTGAGCGGGCAGGAGTATAATGTCAGACAACACAGTTGCCCAACTTCTGCGTATTGTCACAGATGATGTAGCAAACGGATATGAAGCATGAAGATAAGTTCCTAAAACTATTGTCACCGATTGCATTGAAAGGTCAAAATATGATGTGCAAACTCATCACACACGCAGTGAATGTGATACTGTATTAATATTTGGATGAAATGTCGAGCACAATATATTGGTCATAATCTTACTGATATATTCACACGACTTTTTAACTTGCTTTACGTACTCTTTCCCCCTCTTCTTTATGATTGCAATTTGCAACATAACCGGTATGGGGGTTGCGTCATTTCAATTGCACATGCTTGGTGTTGGTTTGATGAAGAAAGATGCGGCGACCAACCTCTCTCTTTATCTCCAATTAACTACATTACATTTCAATACTTTTGCTACCCCGTTGTTTGATCAAATGCATTGCAATTGCCGATGTTTTTTGCAGACTAATTAATTTCTCAGTCATGTTTTGCTAGCTGTAGCTAAATTCCTACGTCTCGATAATCGACCTGCTAGTTTGTCCTATGTAATTGATCTCACAGATATCATATAGTGTTCGTTAAACTATATTATTTCCCCTAGTTGGATCTATCGGGTCACTAACTGGACAAAGTTTGTCTCTGAGTGAGTTAATTAGTTTTTATGCCAGCGTTATTACGAATCGTACGTAGGGCCTCTGATATCCCTTCTAACTCGAAAGTGAACTGGATCCCGCCTACTAGTGAATTCCTGTGTGGAAAACTTAGGGATATGTCCAGATTTCAGTCACAATGAGTAAGTCATCCACACAACCTAGCGGCACTATTAGACATTCTAGGAGCTTTACGTTACCAGCTGTTCATATATATATATATATATATATATATATATATATGAACAACTTCCCATTGATTCAAATAAAAAGATATTTTTTATATATGTCCTGTATATAAACCATTGATGATTTAAAGTAAACGATGAGTGAATGATTTTCTTTTCTCTCAGTGACTTCTTCAGATTCACACAGACATATCTATATTATCCAAGAAATCAAATTGTATGAATTAATAACAATAATACTGACTGATTACAAGTGGAAATATCAGTGATACAAAAAATATGAGAAAGAAAAATATAGAAAGAAAAAATGTACATAAAATATCCGAATCAATCAACTGAGTGAGTGAGTACAACTAAATTAGAATTCATAAAAAATATACATATATATATGATGTGTGTATTGGCGGGCTGGGATGGAGTGGAGGGTTGTGTAATAAAAAAATGGAGGAGAAATGTGTAACACTATGCAATTCATCATATTGAATATCACAGGATATATTCTCATTGTTATTATTAAATATTTTATTCAATGTTATAAAGAAAAAGATTGATCATAAATAAGAAATTAAGTTTCTATGTTTAAATGAGTAATAAAGTAATAACACACAGTTGAATTCATGTTGTAATACTTGGTTTGTTATCTACTCTTAACAAGGCAAAGTTGTTCTGCAGTTCACCATGAGATCTTGTAGAATAAATTTTATTTCATCTCCCTTCATCTAATAGATATCTGTTATTATCTTCAAATTGTCGTATTAGGCGACAGCGGAGATGAGATCGTTTCTAAGGATGTCGGAGACTTCGCAGAGATAATAGTATGACAAACAGTATTATCTGAAAAAGGATCTTTATTTGGCAGATGATAGATTACATCATCGTTTGGTTCAAAAGATGCATGATCATCATCACCATCATTAGGTACTGAGAGGAGAAAGTGCTCTGATACTTCATCATTTAAGCTTGAATGGTGTTTTCCGTTGTGTTGAGCATAATTGAAACTCAACCTCTTCGATTGTATACAATCTGTGTATTATAAATAAGAAACAACAGCGGTAAAGGATACGAAATAAACTGACCGATTACTTTGAAAAAAGTACACTAGCTGATTTGGAATAAATGCCACTAGCACCTCTATGTAATAAGCGGAACAAAAACTACAATCCAATTAGCTCTCTAAAAATAAACATGAAGCAACATTGTGTCTAACTTTTACTAAATACTAATATAAGGGATGATAATAATAATGTAACAAATCTATTTTATATATATATATATATATATATATATATATATATATATATATATATATATAATCATAATTTTGACAGGTTAAACTAAAAGTGATCTTTCCTACAGGTAAATTTATTCGTCTGCTGAAACATACAATCATGTGACCAATCTCGTTTTACATACTGAATAACAAAAGTTACTAACCGACCGACTGATGGAAGAATTTTTTTTAAATTTCCTTCGCGTTCCCCAGTGGAACATAGGGCTCTAAGCTATTGACTTGAAGTTTCTGTAGCGGTGTTTATTTTTACAGGATGGGGTTGCTAGCCTCATGCCCAACCTTCCCTCTTTACCAGTCTTATTACTGGATAAGTGAGGTAAAGGAGTGCGTCGGCCGGGGATCGAACCCTGGACCATGTCCATGGTTGGCGAGCATGCTAACCGCTATGCCACCGACGCACTGATTGAAGGATAAAAATAGACTTTTCCAGACACATCCAAAGTTGGCGCTATTACGTTAAACCATACAACAATAAAAAATCAATGTGTTTCAAGGTTTCAAATCCTACTGTTCCTACTTCAACCTGGGCGACTTCAACTACTGTGTAGTATCATCATCTCCCACGGAATAGTTGCATAGCTCCAGAGTCTTTCTGACTGAGTTTCAACCTAGAACTTTGCACAGTAGTGCAGCAGTTCAGTTCAAGTTGCCATAAAGATAGTGAAAAGAGAAAGAAAAAAGAAATTCAAAAGAACTATAGTAAGCATAAATGTGCGGGAGAAGGAGTAACAACAAAGAAAAACATAAGGATTTAATGTAGCTGTGCCAATAGGACTAATTTGGAGTCATATAACACCAAGAGTCTCTAACCCATTGAGTCTTACCACCCCAGACTCCAACCAACGTGACTCAAACGATTTGTGAAAGATTTCATAAATTGATGTCAGGTTTTGGTTTGACCACCTTTAACACTTTTTCAACTCAGTCATATGTCAGCTAACATTTCTAAATGTGGATAGGCGGTGGCTGGCTGCGCAGATGGATTAATATGGCAAAAGATAAATATTCATTCAATCTAATTCTGTCGCGATTTGAAACCAGATTGGTTTACCCGAGTCAACTAGCCATATGCCCACATTCAGGGTCCTAACATCACTATTATTCCAGTTGATTCCTTGCGCTAATCCCAAGAATATTAGCTCCTTTTTCATAAACTACTTTGACATATAATCTGGAAAAGTTTGATGAAACCATCTCGGGTTTATAAAACAATAACTAGTAATTCAGTTAACTTAGCCAATAATTCAGCAGCATCATGCCTAAATTATTTTGAGCCAATCTATTAGACTCTGTTGCTATTTTTAACTTGCTGTAGAGTAAAGACAGTTTTTACAAATTCGGAGGATTAATCCCTTTGTCTCTTTCGTATTTAAACTAGATAGTGGTCAACTGCAACGCAATGGTAAACCAACTTAAGTTGTATGCCCAATATTCCAGCTGTCACTTTTGAGAAGTTAACGGAGTTACATCCTTCTTGAGGGTCACTTCACTTCAGTAGCGTTACAGGGGCCCAAACACTTGACGATTATTACCTATCTCACCTACTGGTGTTAACTTATTTCCCGACCCCCCACCTCCATCCCCGTTATGTCTGGAGTCTGTTAGGATCGATTCAGATGAAGCTAAAAACATCCACTCGTATTTTACAAACCTTTGCCTACAATTTGTCAAGTACCTTAACTACTGTTTCCACAGTAGACTTCCTTAGGATGACTGTCACTCTCATAGTCCGATAAATGTGCAGATAACTCCCTCCTTCGCTCAACTGTTTCACCTTTACTTCAATTCATCCATAAACAAACAAGTGTACGGACTAATGCTTCTTCACATAAATTGAGTAAGACGGTTACTGGACTCAGAGACAGGTACAAACATGTGAAAGAAAAATGTTTTCAGATCTAGTTAATAATAATAATCTAATTTATTCCAAAAACAGTACTTAATGTACTTAAACAGTACAAAATGGAATTCTCAGCATTTGTCACCATATGGCGTCTGACTTTCCCTGACATAAAGTGTACTACCTTCTTCCTGAGAAATAAGAATGCAGCCATTTGACAACCCAACAGCCAGTTTCAGTAAGCTTGTTTAACAAAAGGTCCCTAAGTATTGAGTCGAAAGCAGATGTGTAATCTAGGAAGGTGCAGCGAAAAAATTTAGCCACCTTGTCTAAGCTGGAGACAATGTTATGACTGCAGCTGCATCTAAAGTACTTCAACTGTGTTTATAGGCGAATTGTTTGGGATCGTTAAAGGCTTTGAGTGAAGGCTGACGACTAATTAAGATTAACTTTTCCATAGCTTTTAGCAAAGGAGAGGTAATAGCAATATGTCTAAATTTAAAACATGTTCCAGTTGACGACTTAGGCATAGGTACAATTTTAATGTCTTTCCAAACGGCTGGCAAGACATTTCTGGAAAAAGATTCATTAAATATGTCCATGAGAGGATAACACTTTTTAAGGATTTACAAGAACAGAGGAGGAAAGAATGGAGTGAAACGGCTAGACGGTACATAAAAGAATAAAGGATAATTATATTATGTCTAATATGATAAATAATGAATACAACACTACTGCTGCGATTGACTTCCGGCCATGTCGTTAAGGATCTATCATAAATGATCTAGAAGATAAGTTTAGCTACTCTTCAATTAATGTTACTCATTCAGAAAACCAATGACTTTGTCACGTTTGGATCCATTAAGTTACCTCTTGTTATGATTGACTTTAAGATTACTCTATACTATGATCAATCCCTAGAGCTACAACTATGAAGGACACATGTATACCAAATGAACTGTAGTCAAGATTTGACAGAATAGTTCTAAAATATTTGGGCGCCGAGTGAGAAGTAGACATTTGTTCCCTGAAGAAGTTCGGATTAGATTGCCGAACGAAACGTTGGAATTACTCATTTCAATATCGTTGAGATTTTACAAATATATTTTTTTTTTATTAAAGACACATGTATACATTGAAAATAGACTACATCATATCCAAGCTTGGTGATCGATAGATAAATAGATACTGACTAGTCCCTTAAATACTACATAATTAACTGCTGTTAAATATCAGTGATAATCGTCTAGTAATTTCAAACACAAAAGATGAAATGCTGAAACTCACCAGATAACATAGATGACGAATCACAAGACGGTGAAGAAGAACTAGCCATATTATTATTATTGTTACGATTTACATGATTTGTAGAATTTATCATATTTTTATTCTTGTCAGTAGTAGTAGTAGTACTAGAAATAGGAGTATCAATTTGCTGACTACCATTCACAAGTTGTGCATTGCCTCCTGCATCTTCATCTTGATTTGCTTGTTTCAGGGGTGATGTCATCTTCAGCATCATAATGCGGTTTTTTTCAACCAGTGGTTCAGTATTATCTTCCTTTGTGTACCCACTACTATTACTACCAAGAGAATAAAATGTCGTCACTGTTGATAATGCGGGTGGAGGCGTCGGCGGGGATGGTAACGGTGTCGGTGGTGTTAGACTACGATTACTGATAATTGTTAAACAACAAGGATTCTGATCATAGTTACTACCTCCAACACTACTATTATTCACTGAACGTGTAATCCACACATTTTCAATAGTACTTAGAATATTATCAGCTGAACAATTATTTCCATGACCTAAAGATAGTAATAATTTATCATCTAACCCGAGAATACGATCACCAATTTGAATATCAGTTCTAGATGCACATGAGTTAGGTTCAATGCGTACAACCACGGGTCCACTTACACCTGGACCATCAATTAATCGTAGGCCTAAACGATTCTGAGTTGTGGCATTATCATCATTTGTTAACACGGGGGCTATGGGTAGACAGATTTGTCGAACATAAAACCCCCCATTAAATCTTTCAGTTAATTCTAAGGCTTTGTCAATTTCATCTTTAGTCAGAAAAGCGGATATACTGTTGTTGTCAATCGACTTGTCGATCTGTTCTTTCTGATAAGCAGTAGTGGTAATTCTATTATTAGTATCTTTCAACTGATTTTCATGTTCTATTGATATATTATTGTTATTATTCAATGTTTCAGTGAACTTCTCAAAGCCAAGTTGATTAGTCCTACTTCGTTTATCCTTGTTCTCCTCCTCTTCATCATCTTGTTGTTCCGGTACTGTATCCATATCACGTATAAAAGCTGGCGGTTCAATAAACGGCATAATGCCACCGAATAAGGCTGGTAATTCTTCTGATGGAGGTGGATATGGTGGACAAATGTCATACTCTTCTGACTGATGGAGTTGCTGTGACAGAGATGATGGTAATGATGAACGGTTTTCATCGGCCCACTAGTAATAGTAGTAGTGTTCTTCTTTTTAAGTGTATGATTATGATTTTTAACAATTGACAGGGGATTCGTATTCGGTAGACGGCCTAATTCAATTGTACAGTATGGTAAAGTAGACAATAATTGAACAACTTCACTTGGATTTAACCAATCCACTGGTTCACGATCTATTGTTAGTAGACGATCACCAGGCTAAAATTGGAAATAAAGAAAGGCGAGAATAAGAGAGAAGCGACGATTAAAACATTTGATTAGTCTTAATCACGAACAAGCATCAGTTAGAGAACTTAATGGAAAAATAAACGAGCCCTGGGGCCGGTGATTATTAATTCATCTTCGAATCTCTTCCTTTTTCAATCCTTTTGTGTTTTAAGTGGAACATAGGGCATCAAACACCGATTGCAGTTTCAGCAGCGGATTTTACTGGCTAGGGTTGTTAGTCTCACGCTAAACCTTTTACTATTTCCCAAACTTGTTACCTTCTAGTAAACTAGGTATAGTTTATGAATGAGTCGCCCAGGAATGAAGAATTGACCACGCCCAGTGCGACTGCAGGGCATCCTATTACTGAATCACCAATACATCGTATCTATGCTCAATAAATATTTTAAGACATCAAAGTAATGGTTAAATAGTGAGTGTTGTATTCTCTCAAATGGACGGTTTACAGATGTGAAGTTTACACATTATCATTCTTCTACCTGAAGTTCAACATTATCTAGGCAATAAAATCCTGAGTCGCGTTATCCTGGAGAGAATAAAGGACACACTGGATACAGAACTCCGACCAGAACAAGCTGGATTCAGGAAAGGCAAATCATGTTCTGACCAAATTGCAACTCTACGCATCATCATCACAGAACAAAGCATGGAATGGCAATCAAACCTCTACCTCAACTTTATAGACTTTGAGAAGGCCTTCGACAGCGTTGACCGCGAAGTAATTTGGAAACTACTCGAGTACTACGGCGTACCCCAAATATTCATCAAGCTTATTCAAAAGCTGTACGACAACGGCACATGTCAAGTGATCCACAACGGAAAACCCAGCGAGGCGTTTGGAGTAAACACAGGAGTCAGACAAGGGTGCTTATTATCACCAATGATATTCCTAATTGTGGTGGACTGGATTATGCGTCAGACAGTGGGAAACGAGAAGACAGGAATATCCTGGACCGACACGAAGAACCTAGAAGACCTAGATTTCGCGCGTGGATGATTTATGTTTGATGTCACGCAACATCGAAGACTTACAAGCGAAAACCGACAAACTGGTCGAAGCAGCCAGCAAAGACAGGACTCCAAGTGAACATAGACAAGACGGAGGTGATGAAAATAACCAACCAACAACAACAGCCAGCATCAACAACAAAATTCGGTCGGATTTTCAATACAAACGTCAAGTCAGTCAGTTCTTCTATACGGATCAGAAACTTGGCGGGCGGGTCACAAAGAATATTTCCAACAGCCTGTTTCAGACCTTTATCAACAACTGTTTTTGCTCTATACTGAAGATCAGATGGCCGGGCCGGAAAGAATCACCATCAAGAAACTATGGGAACAAAAAAAGCAAGAACCAATCGCCCAACAAATGTGCAGGAGAAAGTGGAGATGGATAGGTCACTCGCTGAGGAGACCGCTGGGTGACATCACGCGCGCGTCAGGTCATTGCTCGAGTGGAACCAGGCTGAGAGGGAAGCGGCGACTGGGACGTCAGTGCAAGGGTGACATGGAGGAGATCGTGTGAAGAGGAGTTGAAACAGTATGGACTAACTAACATGGATGCAAGTGAAAAGTACAGCAAAAGACAGAAGCACGTGGAGACGTGCAGTTAAAGACCTATGTTCCATTAGGAACCCAAGGGAACAATAATGATAATATAATAATCTGTGCATTTTAAGTGATTATTCACCAGAAGTTATAACCACCGTGTTATTTGGAACATACACCTGATTATGGAATTTACATGAAGTGATATATTGTATGTCTGTAAATATATAACAACAGAAAATATGCACAAGTATATTTATAATCTTCACCGTTCATATACAACAACGACACTGCTCTTGATGAGAAACCAATGTAAAAAACACAAATTTATTGTTGAATGAACAATCCTCAAAATTAATTTGTTCTGTGATTCTAAGATTGAAACGCTAATAAGCCTAAAATCAGTCAAGCAACTGCATACATTCGAAACAGACATGTATATTGTGTACACATATTATTCGTCCAGTGATAATTTAATTGGTTTGTTATATAAGTATAAAGAATTGCAAGTCAATTGACCAATACAGCTATTTCGTGTGTCAGGCTATGAATGGGGATGGTATTACGTAGTTGCTGAGGCTGGAATTTTTTAAAATTACTATTATTATTAAAGCAAAAACTTCATACACCATAGGTGACAAAACATTATTATTACTATATCCTTTAATTCCTAGAGGAACATAGGGCTACAGCCATGCTTCTCCATTGCCTTCGGTTCTCTGCCAACTTTTTCACCCCGCTCCATGCTTTCATCTCCTCTTCACATAACCTCCTCCAAGTCACCCTTGCACTGACGACCAACTCGCCGCTTCCCTTTCGGGTTCCACTCGAGCAATGGCTTTTCTAGTGATGTCACTTGATGGTTTCCTCAGCGTATGACCAGCCAATCCATCTCCATTTCTTCCTACCTATTTGTTTCACAACCGGTTCCTGCTGACTCATTTATGTGTTCTTTTCTTCAATATATCAAGTGTGTTCGGTGTGATTGTGTTGTTATCTTGCTGATTAAAAGTAATACATTGGTGTTTCAAGCGTCATTCGTAAATAAAAAGTAATAGTATTGTTTTGTATGTGACGAATATAAATCAATCATGAAAATAAATTCAATCAGTGGACTATGTATCTGATATTAATGCTTACCATAATCATGCCAGAGCGATCAGCTGGACTACATGGTTGTATACTCTCTACAATCAGTCGACTATGCGAATCCCATAATTCTTGCTGATTCGCTTTACGTACACGTAGACCGAATGCTGCCGTAGCTATATCGTCATCATCATCAGCAACGGCATTATCAGTGACGCCAGCAACTGCTCCTTGATCATTTGATGGAAGAATTGGCAACACTCCGACTGCTGCTGCTCCACATAGAGCATTTATACCCTCTGACTGACATTGACGACGTTCCAACACAACGACATAAACATGTAATCGATTTCTTGGATAGGCTAGAGTATTTTGAGTGGAATAAAACTTATTTTAGAAAACGGAACAGAAACATCTCCCCCACTCCGATTGAATTACGTAATAATGCGAATAGAACACGGGATATATATATATACATATATACTAAAGCATGCTATAAAACAGTCTTAAATTATTCTGACTGACTATTTACCAAATCCCATTTCTTTTTTTAAAAAACTGACAAGGCAAATTATTATTATTATTTTTTATTATTTAACTTGAAAGATGTTTAGAGACAATGAAACAAACCAACAGGTGAGTAAAATTTTTTTTTTTTCTGAAATCTATGCTCAGCAGAAAATATGTAATGTATTAAGCCTTAGCTTATCTACAACATAAACACACAGAATAATGAGGGAATTAGAGACACTTCAGAAGATAAAAAATTTTTTTGACCAGTTTTTCTACAAAATAAGGAAAATGACTCAGCAGTATGGATGTAGATATGCATGCATGTACATGTGTACGGACTGATTCTGTTCGTCTATACAATGCACAGTAGCATTTCATGCATACACGCATGCATAACGATAATAATAGTAATAAGTTGTGTAGTAGAAAGTGTTCAACAGTATATACATTAAGTAACTAGATTACCTTATCATAAGTTGTGGAACCTATGTCAATGATAAAATACGCCATGGAGAAAGAGAGAAAATCCTACTTGGAAAGTATGATACTATCAACCACAACATAGACTAATACTACTACTATTACTGCTGATTCCTTTTACAACCAACTGTTTATCAGAGTTTTAGCAGAGAAGTGAACACGGAATAGATACACGTACACTTTTGAGTAGAGAAAAAAAAGGAGAGGAGAATCAACGTTTATACGAGAATCAAGTGAATTATGTGTAACACAGCAGTATGTATCATGTGCATATGTATCATTATTAAAAGAAGTGAGTACTATACTTTCTGACGCACACACCCAAAGCATACAAACAAACATTCTTTGAGCGTACATATGTGTGTATCTAAATGTTTGTTTATATGCTTTCCGAAGTGAAGACGGTAAGTGGAAGAGGCAGAGAGATGGCTGTTAATTTCACCGTCAATAAACAAGACTAAAGCCTTCTTCACCATCACTTGAAACGTCTATTTCCACTGCTTCCTTCATCAGTACATATTTTTGGAGGTACTGTGATGTTGAATGTGTTCCATTCTTTGCCTGTTTGTTTTATACATCAACGACTGGTGCTGTTATTTCTGAAAATAGTATTACTAAGACGCCTACATATGTTTTCTATTTATAACAATTGTGATAACTAATAATGAGATGTATAAGCTGCAGAAAATTGGCATTCTGAACCTAAGAGTAATAATAATAATGACGAAGGTAAAAATGACGACGCCAACGACAAAAACATGGCCAAGTGTGTACCCCATGAGGATGTCCACAAAACACAACAGAGAAAACGGTCCCCACATTAATAATGCAATATATTAGGTGTGATTACGTATGTGTATATAAATGTATACATATAAATAACAGTTGAATGCATTGGCATGCAATCCACCAAAACAAAAGAAATAAATGCACAGTGACGGGATGATCAGAGTGATAAACAAGCGGAATGCACAGACAACAGTGTTACAACAAGACAATATAATGTTAGCAGATCATATCAAGAGAATTCAAAAGACAGAGAGAGAGGGGACGGGGAAACAAAGAAGACAGAAAAAGAAAGAAAAGTAAATTCTTTACAAATAGGATATAAAAAAAGATAATGTCATAATACAATTCTATGAAATTCTTCAATTATATCGCGATCTAGTTAATGCTAGCCGTCAAGAGAGTAGTACTTCCCAGATGCTAAACACTACTGATTGACTGAGATGAGCAGTTAGCTACCAGTCACATCACATCCAGTAGTGCTTCCTAGCCAGACGGAAGTGATGCGAGCATTCTGACGACTAGTTCACTCATTTAGGGCCAATCACTTCAGCTCATGAGCTCAAAGAGCCAAATAACTTCAAACTGGCCCAATTCTGATTAGCCAGCTACTTGAACAAACTAGTAATGTGGCGTGTGCTACTGATAGGATTTATCAGTAGTATATAAAAAGACGTTCATCAACATAAAAATACCGAATAGCGGAGAAAAAGATATGATGTCAGAGAAAGCAAGTGATTCAGCGTAGCGGAAAAATATGGAAGACACAAAAAGAAGACAAAGAAACACAATATGAAGGGTAGAAGTAGCAGACATAACACAGAAGATCTGTGCAAATTGTGAATGGAAGATAAGGAGTATATAATTTCGTCATATAGCGATACCAAATCTCAAAGAAACATTACTTTACAAAGTCTCTTGTCTTCTATCGTTACAGTAACATACTGAATCAAATCGTGATAAGAACAATTTTAGTTTACAAAAAATTTCACCGGGAACTGTGTAAACAACCGATCGCTAATAATTTGCAAGTTAAGAGTGATTCTGTGGCGGTAGTTCATCACGCGTGCAGATTTCCAATTTTCATCATAAGATCCATGTTAGCAATCAAACACTGCACATTATCCACTTCACTGAATACGTTTAACAACAAATAAAATTGCTCGTTAACACAGTCAAAAGTAAATAAGCATCCTGCTCACGTGTCAACTCCAATTGTATTTACCAGTTCATCTGCACTTGCAGTTGTAAGTACACATGAAGGACCAAGAGGAGGTCGTTCACTAGATTTTCCAAGTATATCACTTAAAGTTTCCGTTTAAAAGGCAACAAAGTGTCCTCAAGTGCAATTACCAGACACCTAAGTGACAGATCAGGTTTTCAAAATATTCAGTACACAAAGAAAACCATGGTTACTTCGGTTCGCAGAACCCATTGCCATCAAAAGAGTTTGAACCAACCTGTGTATGCAGAAAGATAGTGTGACTAATCTCTCACTACCCTGGTAACCGTAAGTTGACAGAATCAACCAATCAGAAGAAACATCTGAACTAATTACAACTACTTTTAGGTCGATTAACTGAAATTAAAATCTCTTTCAAACACCTGTAAAATCGTATTCAAGAAAAGAATAAAATACTCTGAACGACAATCGGGATTCTTTCATAACGCCTATATATATATATAAAACATACCATGACGAGATGGTGCAGTTTTATGCCGTCCAATCAATAATTTCACTTCACTTTGAGCATTCTATTCAAAAAAAGGCAAGGGAAAGAAAGAACAGAAAACATAGGCGGTTAAAACTATTGCATAAGAGAGTGGTGAAATGACTATAAAGACTTCATTTATCATGAGGGAGGTGGATACTGACAGGTGTTCAAACAATACTGCATTATTACTCTAGGAATTTTAATTTATATTTTTACTAAATAGAATAGTTTTCAACATACATCATTTTAAGTATTGCTCCCAGGATAGACGACTGGATCGCTGGAAAGAGCATTATGAGGAGCAGTTTAATTGGCCCATAGCCACGCTCAACCTGCCGAACATCCAACACCTCCCTGAATGGGATATAGACACAAGTCCTCCATCCCTAACTGAGGTTACTAAAGCTGTCACCAATCTGAAACTAGACAAAGCAGCGGGACCTGATGGAATGACTCCAGAGGCATATAAATACGGTGGTGACAGCTTACCGTCTGCATTAACTGAGGTACTAAGAAGCGTCTGGGAATCAGAGAAGATTCCTTCGGGTCGGTGTAAGTCACTGATTATCCCCATGTACAAGAAGGGAGACAAGTCTTCCTGTGATAATCACAGAGATTAGCTTGACTAATATAGTATCTAAAGTCCTAGGCTCAATAATATTACGTAGACTAAGTGGTGCTCGGGAGGCACAAACACGAGAGAGCCAGACAGGCTTTAGACCAGGAAAAGGGTGTATTGATCATATCTTCACCCTCCGACAGATTCTAGAACATAGGAATTCCTACCGGCGTCCAACAATCATTATGTTTCTTGACCTAAAGGCAGCATTCGACTCTGTCAATCGAGAAGTTTTCTGGAGATGTGTGTATGTAAAGGGAATTCCGAGAAAATATATTGCACTGATTAAGGCACTCTACCATCAATTCAAATGAAAATGCAAGAGATGATAGTGGATTAGGTTGGAAGTCAAATCAAAACATGCCGTCAAACAACCAAATCTTCAACTGTAATTTTCATCTACGCTCTCCACCTAGGATTGTCAGGACTTCAAGAGCCAATGGCTTCAGACTGTTGATTATGACGGCTAAAAACCACTCTCAATATCGCAGATGCACTTACTCTTTGTAATTTCTCCCAGATTTATTAAACTTCTTTTATTCTCCAAGAAATTATTCTTTCTCTTGCACACTTTTCATTACAAAGTGGCAACCTGAACTGCTGCAACCCTATGCAAAGTTCTATCTTCAACCAACTTCGAATGACCTTGGCGGCCTGTTTGAACATTTTTGGGCTACCACATTCCATGTACATTTTGCATCTATTTACTCGTATTTCATTGGTATTTACAAATCACATTATGCATTCTAATCGTATTATCCACTCCCGGGATTTTATAAAACGTTTTAAACCCAAAAACTTTCATATTTGCAATAAACTCAAGAAAAAGCACCATGGAGGTTGGCAGCGTGCCTTAAAATCTACACCCATACATCACACCACTGTTCCAGTTATCATTAGTACCAACTGCCGGTCCCTGCCTAAGAAAATTCTGGATTTTCAGTCCCTGTTGTCATCCAGTACCTACCACAGTACTGGTATTGTCACGCTACAAGAAACCTGGCTCCATGACTCATACGATGACAATATTGTGTCTCTAAACAATTTTAATGTTTTTCGACAAGACCGTGTTTGTTCCAAGAAAAAATGTGGCGGAGGTGTTGCAACTTTTATTCACTCAAAATGGTCCATTTCTAACAAAGTTTGTTTCAAATTCTCGAATGACTTCATTGATTGCATCACTGTGAGATGTCGCCCGAAACACCTGTCAAAATACAAATTCATTTATATTTCTAATGTTTATGTCTCTCCTGGCTGTACCATATTGGATTTATCTATGTTCGCCGATGAATTCACCGCTTTTGCTGCAGCTTGTTTCGAGAACTCTTTATCAATAGTAGCGATTGCTCCTTCCTTATATCACTTGGTCATGACAATATTGTTAACTTTGCCACCCGTCTTGGTAAAAAACTGGATCTAGTATTCATCAATGATGTTGGTATATATGAAGCTCGCAAACGTGCTCCTTTACTTAATTCTGACCACTGCATCATACGTGTACTGCCTAAAATATATTCCAAATCACACAAAGGTGTCCTCTCTCACCTCTACAGTAAAGTTCAACGGAGATGCTACTCAAAAGACAACCTAGACAAGCTCAGATGCATGTTGAAAGACACTAACTGGGACTTATTTACAGAACAAACATTAGATGAAACAATCACAAACACTACCGATTATCTTAAATTCTGTTTCGAAATATGTTGTCCTAAAGAAACATTATTCATTCGATTTGATCGCTTATCTTCGCCATATCTCAAAAAGCTACGTAGAAATAAAGAACTGTTGTTCAAAACTAATGATAAGCCTGGTGTAAAAAAGTTAAACATTCTGATAAAACTGGAAATAAAAAGACTAAATGTTTTATATAATCAAAGATTTTTGTCATGTAAAACCCCTTCTAATTTATGGAAACTTTTCAAAGAAATTACTAACGGTAAGCGATGTATTTCTGTTCCATCTCTTAATGTTGACACTCTTAATAAATCTTTCATACGCTCTTCTGTTGATACCCTTCCAAATGATACAAATCATATTGACAATAACTTTAGTGGTTTTAATACCCTTGATGTGCTTAAATGTCTCCGGTCTCTTAAGCCTTCTCAAAGCCTTGGTCCTGACGGCATACCTGCCATTGTCCTCAGGAATTGTGCTGATATTTTGTGTTATCCTCTTACTAACATTTTTAATGCTTCTTTTTCCGGTAACGTTCTACCTTTTGCATGGAAAAACATTAAAATTATCCCTATACCAAAACCATCTTCTGGTTCTGATATTAAATTTCGGCCTATTGCAATTACTTCCCCCTTTTTAAAATTGATGGAAAAATTACTTTTACTTCGTCTTGAACCCGCTTTGAAACCTTTTAATGATCCTAAACAATTTGCATACAAACATGGTAGAAGTACCTTGGATGCTGCGGTTGTCTTATATCACAATGTTGTCTCTTGTTTAGACAAAGGTGCTAAATATGTTCGTAGTGCTTTCTTAGACTACACATCTGCTTTTGACTCTGTACCTAGGGGCAAAGGCTATACTGTCAGACCCTCTGCACCCCCTTTATTCAGACCTGTCCCCTTGTATCTCATCAGGTAGGACGAGAAGTCAATATAAAAAGTTATATGCTCGTACCACTAAGTATAGAAATTCTACAATACCCTATTTAGCCCGTACTTTATGTGACGAAGACTCTGTTAGACGTGAAACTTACAAGTTACTATGTAATTAGCACAGTGAATCTACCCTTTCATCGTTCATCTTTCAGTATTTTATGGTGTCACACTTTCTATCCTTTAATTGTTACTCTGCTATTTTATTTTAGTCGGTATTACTATTATTACTACAATTTTGTACTTTATGCATATTTTTCTCCGTATGGCATACAGTATTTTGCTACGTAGCTGCTATAACAATCGTTTTATTACTGTTATGTAATGTGTATTTTCAATTTTTTTTGTCGTTTTTGAGTAAATTAGATGCAATATTGTACTGAATGCTGAAAATTCCTTGCTGTATCATTTGTACTGTTTTTGGAATAAAGCAAATTATTATTATTATTATTATTATTCATTTAGTTAGCAACACACTGATTTTCAGAGTAAAGCTATTGAAGCAGAGATGCAAAGAGACAAAAGAAGAAACAGTCAAGTCTAACAGCAGTACAGAAGAAGAAAAGAATGTTATAAAAGACCGATAAAAAACGTCCGTAGTCAAACTAGAAGAATCAATTGATTTTTCAATCTGAAAGGAATGATGAAAGTCTTAGAAGCCTACGTAAAGGAAAATGAAGGCTTGAAAAATACATATAATAATACCTTCAGAAACATATATTAAAACACTTAAACAAATGCCAACTGCCTTACTTTTGCTGCTACATTATAAATAAATCAGAAATTTCTGATAGTATACGTGTTTCATCAAGAGGAATTTATCGAAAAGGATATTCTTTGCTCAATTATTTTTTAGACTTCGAAACTTGAGTTTTATAGTTTTCTTTGTCTTCTGCTATTTGTCGTAAGGGTAGTAGAATTTTCCAGATATCTGGGACAAAATCTAGATTGGCTGACCCGAATAAGATAAGAAATCTAGAGAATAGTTCATTCATAGCACTACATGCAGTTACACACAACCATACAATAGGATGACAGTTCTAATATCTAATGTCACAGGGTGGAGGGAGAGATTGATAACAGAAGCTTTATTTATCGAATCAACTGCAAATACGTGTAATAGGAATGATTCAACACCTGTCCCAGATATCTGGATAAATTCTACTACCCTTACGACGAATAGGAGAAAACAAAGAAAACTATAAAACTCAAGTTTCGAAGTCGCGTGATTAGAATTGCGCATGGCGCAATTTGTTTTTTCCTTAAAAATGGAGAATTAATGTTAATCCTGACAGTTTACAATCTCTTCTATACTAAGGGATTTCGAAGGGGATGTAGAAGTTTTGCGAATTTCGCTTTTGATATATTCGTCATCACCATCAACAAGATGTATAAGAGAGGCTACAACGTAAGTAACTTCTGTTCAGAGAAAGAGAGATCTTGTATGATCTTTTGATTCATATTGAGGGAACCTGAAGGGTGTGAAGGAAGAATGAGGAACTTCCCCGATGAACAATTCAATACAGAAAACTATGCATACCCATAAACAAGCGAAGGCCTATGTAATATGACATATAAACTGACCTTCAACAGATTGACAACTTCATCTGATTTGGCTAATCGCATGTCCCAACCGTTAATTTCCAAGATAATATCACCAACTTCCAGTAAATTCGATCGAGCTGCAGGACTATTCTCAGTCTACAAGTGATTGTGTAACAAGAGAAAGAAATTTTTTAAAGACAAAGTAAAGATAATGCCAAACGGAAATAATGAAGAACTAAAGAAAATGAGTAATCATTATAACCCGTAATCTTTTCTTCACTTTTACACTAATGAAAACGAAGAGGAGACTATCGTAAAAGATAAAGCCTGAAGTGAATGTGCATAACACTGAAATCAACTGTTCGTCATATTGTAACGGCAGAAGACAAGGGCCAGGCAACGGATCGTTTATTACGGAAATCAACACATTTATATATTTTCATGTGCATTATTATAGTTTATTTAAGCAAACAAACACAGTCTTCTGACTGGTTGTTTCTGACTGAATTTAGCATCTCTTTGTGGCCGTTTCTTGAAAGTCAGATCATCTATAAGCTAATTGCATCCGCCTACGCAAAGCCTTTGTTTTCATTTTTCTCAAGACCAATATTTGCGACGCAAACATTGACGTGAATTACTGTCTACCAACTTTGGCTAGCAGCCAGCTCTCACCACAATATTACCCGAGACCTTATAGTTTTTGGTTTCGATTGTCAGTTTAAACTCTCTCCCCCAACACACACACACACACACCAACTAGAGTGTATACCATTTCTTGGTTCACTGCTCTCTTATCTTCATTAACACCGCACATTGAAGCAAACGGAGGATAGGCATTCGTATTACAGGTTACTGATCACCTTCGTCAATGAATCTATTTATTTGACAGGAGGGGTATCAGCCCTTTTCGATTTTGGAGACAAACCTTGATGACAAGTGTCAAATATACACATGAAACCAAGGTCCACGACTTCAAGTTAAATGCTGTCTCCAATCTCCTTATATGAAAACCTATCAGTATTTTAATCTGCCTGATTGATTTATGAATCAATAGTCCGTATTAAATACGACAGAGTAAGCAAGATAAGCAGATATATCTATAGTATACAATGGATTTTATGAGTAAACTATGCACATGGCTACCAGAATAGTATTAGTGTTCAATGACTTGGAAAAAACCAAAGTAAATGGCATAGGAATGAGAGATAGTCATGTTGAGTTAACACTTGTTAATGCAGCACAATTTTCTCAGAGGAAGGAAAGTGAAGCTAAGTCTGTTCTATACTATCCGGAATAATATACGTTGTGACAGCACAAAGTGATAATGCTTTCCAACACATGTTCGTTTTGTTGTTTAATTAACTCAATTTTCGCTTATCTTATTAGATATATAATCTAATCTCCTCGAATATAGCTAAAATCTCCCATTAACTGCTTGTTGATTTATCCCATCCTTAATTATTAACTCGACAACTATTCAAAAAACTATAGTTGCATAGTCAAAGCGATATCCATAGATATATCAAACTTAACAACCAGTAGTTTTCTTGTTGTTGTGTGATGTCATGTGTTCTCGCATCACAACAAAACGAACCATGCTGTTTCTAGTGAAACAGAGTTTTAAATAAGAACGTGCAATCATAATCAAGCAAAACCCCTCTCTAGTTCTGCTTATTAATTGGTAACGACTCGGGAAACTGATGGAAAGGAAAATTTACACTTACAATGCCACCAATCGCTGTACCAGTTGAATAATGCGGTCGACCGATTAACGATAAACCGAAACTTTGTCCAGGCATATCACGTCTCAATGTAACATTATGACACTCGAATACACCTTGATTTAAATATTGTGGTTCAGGATCTCGATAAACCAATAACTGAATACAATCACCAGCTGCACGTATAATCTATAATTCAAGAAAATCGAAATATTTTATTCCATTTCCTTAGAAAATAATTCGAAACTTTGAATTATTAAATATTATGACTACGCTGAGAAAAAGAGAAAAATTGAGAGAACAATCGTGGTTCCACAAACTTATTCTTCAGACACTACAGTTATAAATCTATAGAAGTTGGAATACAGCGATGCCAGCCTATACAAATGAAACTGATATACGGAAATGTATTGTGGTGTAAAAGTATAAGATGGAATAATATTCCACTAGTTAACGTTATCAACTGAATGCATATAAAACATACAGTAGTTAAAAAATTAAGATGAAATGTGAATAAACAATTGCAAGACATGCTTGTATTTATGGTTATAAAAAGAAAATAAGTTTCAGTCTATATGTTTTTACCATTCATATTTCTCTCCCATGAAAAAATATAACTCACCTTCCCTCCGAAAAACAAACAAACTTATATTTCTGTTGATTATATATACATTAGCATGTCACTTATTTCATCGTTTATTCACATTTTATCTTACAGTCTTAATGACTTTGAGTGCATTTCAATGATATTCATAACTCACTGACTATTATTTTACCTCATACTTGTACAGTAATACACTTTCTGATATAACTTTGATTTGTCTTTACCCTGACTATTTCTATTCTAAAATTCACATCTTTATAACTGTAGAAGAAATTATTTGAATACAACTATGCACTTATTCAAATAGAATTACTCATTTCAATCTCGCTGAGATTTTACAAATGTCAACTGTACACTCAATTTTTTATTCCTATTATAATTACAATATTGAGTTATGTAAGAACGTTTTCCAGTCTTTCAGGACGAAGGGTTTAAATGCCCTCCCCCCCCCAAAAAAAAGAAACAGAAAGTGATATTCGAATATCTAGACAGTGGTATTACATGGTGGAGATGCGACTCATTGGTCTAGATGCCTGACTTCCAACTACTAGATTATGGGTTCGAACCTCTGCAATAGACATAGAAATACAAGTGGTTGTCGAGTAACAGTTGCTGCTTAAATGCATGAGAATAGGACCATAGTTGCCGCAGTTACACTCATTCACTCGTTACAACAGATACTGTGGTCCTCTTGAACATTTTAGTCATACATGTGACTCAAGAAAATTAGGAGATTTCAGAAGTTTTAGTGAAATCTCAAATTATCCAATGAATATGAAAAAAGAAAGAAAACAGAATATTAAAGAAGACTGGAGGGGAGAGATAGAGGCAGAATAACAATTACCTACATAAATATATGCATGTCTATTTCATTCGTAACTATGAATTCTTGTGGTGTGTGCTATTGAAATAGTTTAGTAGAAAGTATATTATCTGTGACGTCCTCTATAAAAATATTGAAGGCAGGAAGAAACGCGTTATGTGGGGAAAGGAGAAATGATAGATGCATGAAACAAAAGAGCAAAAGGGAAGCGCAAAATGAAGATTCCAATTCGTAGGGTTTCTGTATTCCGCCATAACTGTACATCATTTTCCTCAATAAACAATCCCCCAACCAAATACTACTGTGTTCTGCTGTCACATTTCCTATGATTAATTACACTGCGTAATCTATGTCTAATGTATAAAGAAAAAAGATCACAAAGTTCTCAGCTGGATATCAATTTGGCACAACGAAATGCATGAGTTCTAATAAGCCAACACAGCATTACATGGAATACCTCATAAATAACCTCGTACACCCTAGGGGAAGGGTAGAACTTGGTCTTCCAATCCAAACACGCTCATGAAGCTACACGCCTTCTTAGCCTCCGCAAGTTAACTTCTATTCACTGCCTTCAGGTGGCGGGATGTTTTTCACAAAAGTGAAAAAGCGAATACGAATATCTGACGCTTACAACCGGACTAGTCTACCTAATGGAAGTGAAAAACCCTGATTCTAAACCTGTGGCATACATGGGTTTCAGAATTCAGAATGACCGGATGGCGTATGAGCCAGTTTTGGACACTCACAGCAATAGGAATGCAGCTCCTGATGCAATTCCACTGACATGTGCATTAGACTTCAAGTCAAAGGCTCGGAGGGGTGTAACCCCTTATAAAATAACCCAGCTATCGCACAAACTGAGTTTTGGAGTGTTATACGTTTTGGTGCTTGTGTTTTAATAATAATAATAATCACTGCAATAAAGTACAGGAAAGGAAAGAATAAAATTTATGAAACATGAATAATAATAATAATAATAATGATTTACTTTATTCCAAAAACAGTACTTGCGATACAGAATGGAATTTTCAGCATTAATCACAATATTGCATCTAATTTCCTCAAATTATAAATAAAATTAATCACACAGAAAATTTTCCACATTTACAATAGAGGTAGTGTCAAAAACATGCAGCATATAAAATGGAAATAGCAATAATAATGATAACAGCTAGCGTAATAATAATAAGAATACAAGTGAAAATTGCCGTTGGCTTGTGTCACACAGTATTGGCAATGTGGTATAGAAATCCTAACATGTTTAAAAATATATATAATAGTGGACAGGATCAACCATTGTGAAGTAAAACAACTGTGTTCAGCCCTATTAATTTTGTCATATTACTAACGAATGGCTAAGACAGCAAGTGTATATTCATTTTAAAAAATTGAATAATTGATACCAAACAAGGATAATAAACAAACACTATATATTTGAACAGTGTTAATGGGATACGGAATTTATCTGAAACATGTGCGTCGGTGGCACAGTGGCTAGGACTCTCGCCGACCATGCACATGGTCCGGGGTTCGAGCTCACGCCGACGCACACCTGATATCTATGGTCGGCCTGAGAATTTTGGGCTACCGATATCCACGCTGAAAATTCCATACTTGTACCAAAAATACAGTGTGGAATCAAGCTGTAATCAAAAATAAATAAAATAAAAATGTGACGTATTTGTGCGATGCATTTTCGAACAATCTGATCGCGCAGACCTTAACTTGTCATATCAGTTTAGATGAAAAGTGAAAGGTTAATTAAAATAAACAAAATGATATCGGATTTAAAAATATAAAAAATGATAATTAACACTATTTTTGATTATGTGATCAGAGAAGAATTTTAACAAGACAGGTTAGGTGTAACTTGAGGATACACAGGTTTTGAAGTTCTGCTGTTTTTCAAACCAATCGGGTATGTGTACTCCCATCTTCTCATGAAAGGCGCGATTACACCTCTCTCTCCCTCTCTCTCTCTCTCTCTCTCTATATATATATATATATATATAGGATCGCAGAATTGGATATGCACATAGTTACTTGTAAAATATTGAGGCTTTTAGGTGAGCATGTTTGTGGCTTTATTGAAAATCGCAAGCGGGACTGGATAGTAAGTTTTATAGATCACAGAATATTTAGTTTTTGTATTAAAATCATGCTATTTTTTCCCCATTGTAAGGCGATTTAATACAGACATCTTTCTTTGGAACAGAGTAGACATATACCGAATACCTCAAAAGACAATTGGCACTGGGAACCATCGAATTCCAAACACACAGATGGCAGATTACCAACCTTGTCCATAGCAAAAATGTAATTGATATAAATAGCAAGATTAATATCAAAACACCTTTTAGGTTTACCTATAAAGCCTGCTAGGCATGCACACTGAAATACTCTAAAGAGACTGTCATCCGTAAAATAAGCCCTACCTTCGGTGTGTGTAAAAACAGTTTATCATTATGCTTAACCTATATTAGTAATCTGTTTATAATACCAAAACTATTGTTAGTTAATATTTTTTATATTTTCCCTTTTTGTAGGAAACAACCACACACTTACTTTTGTCGCATCTTTTTGAGTAGCTTCACGAAGATCAATCCCATTGGCAGCTAATAAACGATCACCGACTTGAAGTCGACCGTCATAAGCAGCAGCCCCATTAGTGTGTATTTCATGTATTAAGATGTTACCCTTTTGAAATAGAATAAAGAGAAAAGGGAAGATGATTCACAAATTATTTGTGTTGATTAACTCATCGAATAAAATAGACATCATGAAGAGAACAATATACACATTTCCAAACCTTGTTCCTCTTCAGTACAAGAGAAACTTGATAAAGACATCCAGTTACAGATTCACAGTCATATATATTCAGATGATGCGATTAAACATGGACTTAAGACTAAAAATGACACCTTAATTGAAAATAGTTATCCAGAAAAATTCATCACGAAACACATTAACCAAGAAAGTAGAAAAGAAATCTGTATCTGTGAACAAGAAGCTTCTTCTATGTGAGAATGTAATTCAAGGGTGATGTACTAAGTTTGAAGTAATAACCAACAAGTTAAGAAAATCAATTCAAAGAACTTTCAATGATAGTAGGCTGTAGCTCATATTTTCTACACACACCCGTTGTGAACCAGACACAGGAAGACGAAGTACTTAGGCCAACCAACTCTTTCCTGTACCTATAAATCCAGGTGTTCCTGCAGCTATTGTCTCTAGGGATGTAATCTTTCGCAATCAAAAACACCTCTCAATATGGTTAAATAAAGGTGAAGTAAAAAGGATTAACAGTTTGATATTAAATCACCTGATCTAAACAGATCATAAACTGAACACTGAAGAATCTTTTTCTATCATCTGTGGTGCCAAAGGAGCTTTAGAAAGCGAATACACCAAACAGAAGAAGTCATTGTGATTCGATTTAAAGAATCGGAACTCTGCAAACAAAGCTAACAGGTCTAACCAAAACCGCTACTCTGGATTGCTGTGGAACCTACAAAATTCACCATTTCTGCATTACTTTTCCTAGTTTATGTGATTTTCAATTAAGTAGTATATTTATGCTTATTAACACACACTTTTTGGGACTATAATCTACTAATAATCTATTCGCATATGTTAACTCCAATTTTTATCTGAATCATTCGATATTACACATTTTTTTTAAACAATGTTGCAGAAATCATTATTGTTTAATTATCATGGATACATAACTGTGATACCCGATGAAGAAAAAAGTTATCAAAAAATTGTTCCTTCACTCACTAATCAGTCGACTGAAAAATAGGAATCCTACAAACATTGACTTAGTGGATAAACTATACTTAATGTGGAGTAAGTAACTGGTACGATCTTTTCCACTACCCTAAGTATTGACTGAATGCTATCAGTCAAATTCCCAAAGTGTTCCTCGAAGTAGCAGACACTTTCATGGCAAAGCACCTTCAATTTGCGACTTAGATAGAGAGAATATAGACCAAAAAGTCGTCAACTTATGCCTGAAAACAATTTTATCTGTATGTATATTGTATTAGATATTCCAGAAATATATTCACCACGTGAGACATAATTTAAAGAACACCAGAATGCATATATATGACGTGTGCTACTGATAGGATTTATCAGTAGTATATAAAAAGACGTTCATCAACATAAAAATACCGAATAGCGGAGAAAAAGATATGACGTCAGAGAAAGCAAGTGATTCAGCGTAGCGGAAAAATATGGAAGACACAAAAAGAAGACAAAGAAACACAATATGAAGGGTAGAAGTAGCAGACATAACACAGAAGATCTGTGCAAATTGTGAATGGAAGATAAGGAGTATATAATTTCGTCATATAGCGATACCAAATCTCAAAGAAACATTACTTTACAAATCTCCTGTATTCTACCTTTATATATATATATATATATATTATTCTCCTCTCATTTGACTGCTGGTAATAATACCTTCGATATCTCTGGTATTTGTGTTGAGTCATTTCTGTTGCATGTGTTGGGTGTAGACTCATTGACACTTTCACAGTGTTACAAACATAACATATCTCTGGCTTCTTGACGCACATAAACTCGCTAGTAAAAGGAATCAAATTCACGTTTCAGTCGGAAGATGAACAAGGAGAACTAGCCATGTTAGATTGTAAAATGAAACGAAGAGAAGAAGGTAAACTGCACACTAGCATTTATAAAAAGCCAACACATTCTAATAGATATTTAGACTTGAATTCATCTCATCCGTTGTCTGTTAAGGCATGCTTAGTTAAGTGTCTGACAGACCGAGCAATAGCACTAAGTAGCACAAAAAAGACCTAAATGATGAAAGGAAACAGATATAAGAAGCGCTGGTATTCAATAACTATTCTATAAAATTCATTAGGAAGATCAGAAAAGGCGAAAAGCAAAGTAAAAATAATGGTCAAACTAATAATGATAACATAAATAAGAGAGAATATAAGGCATCTAATGTTATACCATATAAGGAGGGGACATCTGAAACCCTACGTGGGATTCTCAGTAAAGCAGGAATTAGAGTGGCAATTAAACCTACTAACTCACTCAGGGAAAAGCTCTGTAGGTTGAAGGACCCAGTCATTCCAGTAAGACATAATAATATCATTTACAAAATGCCTTGCAATGACTGTGAGTTAGGTCAACTACATAGGTAAAACTAGTAGGTCAGGGGTAGTCAGATTGTCGGAAAATAAGAGCTTAGCTAAGGTAAGAATGGTTGACCCCGAGAAGATAAGTAATTTAGAGAAAAACTCAGCTAGAGCACTGCATGTATTAACACAACCACACAATAGGAAAGGACAGAGTCAAAATTCTAAAAAGTAATGCAGGTAGGTGGAGATAGAGAGAGATTGATTTCTGAATCCTGGTCCATTGAGTCTACACCCAACACATGCAACAGGAATGACTCAACACAAATACCAGAGATATCGATGATATTATTACTAGTCAAATCAGAGGATAACAATAATGTTTAAATGTATTCAATTCACATTCTAACACGTTACTTATTTTTACTGTAAAAACATCTTATGATATTTTATTGTAATTTTATTAAAAGGTTTAATCACTTGCACTTATGTATATAAATGAAGTAAAAAGTTGTGACTTGAAATGATTATGAGTGGCAATAAATTGTGCTTGAAACGTCATCAATCAATATTACTGTATAACAGTGTGATTTATCAAAATGAAATCTTATGTATAAGGTATTCAACAGTTAACAGGTTCTGGAAGACAAGCTAACTTACCGCTGTGTACCATATTCACACCAGTAGGAAGATATAGGAAGTATTTATTTCTATTTATGATGCAGAGGAAAGGTGAACAGATTTGTCGCTTATTCAAAGATGGACAATGATTATTATATTATTATTATATTCATTCCCTTGTTTTCCGAGTGGAACATAGGGCTTCAACAACACATCTCGACTTTTTACTGTTTTCTTCCGTCCTCTTCAGCTAGGTCCTCGATTGACCCAATTCTCTCAACTATCTCACACAATCGCAATGATAATCAACTACTATCATTACTTTCGTGACGATCATCTATAGACAACTTATTCATACCTCTCACTAATAAAATACCAACGGCGGATACAAAACACTGTTTATTCAAGATAAAGCTAATGTGATTCACCCATTACGTCCTGGAGTCCACTCCAGCACCATTCCTACTTCAGCTAAGGCAGCTGTATGGTATCATCAGACCAGATACAAGATGGGTGACGGTTAACACGGAATGTGTTTCAGGTAAATTCGCATCACAAAGGAGTATGAAAAAAGAATCCTACCGAAAAAGCACCTACCAGAACTGTATCACTTCCACCGACAATTGAAAAGCCAAGACCACCACCATTTTTAAACAATGTAACCGTAGCTGGAATCCCAGGGACAATCGACAATTTAGCTTGTTTCAGTTCATTCTTTTTTGCATCATTATCCCTATTATCACCACCGCTGGACTTATAAGTATTGATTATTGACTCGTCAGTAGTTCTTGTTGGATCAAGTGTTGAATTAATTAGCTTGTCAGTTATTTGTCTACCGATTGTCAAACGAACAGACTTTCTAGACTGTTGTAATAATTCAAGTGTTTTCTCATAATCATATTGTAGGTGACCATTAATGGCTAGAATGCGATCGTGAGGTTTCAGTATACCCTGCTAGAAACAATGAAATAGTTCGAGAGGGGGAGGAGGAAGAAGAAAGCGAGGGAAGGAAACAAAAGGTTTATATTTATGCAACAAAATGAATGAATGACTTCATCTGGAAAGAAAACAGTTATATTAACCAAGACCAAATAGCATGCTTATCAGTCTTATATCTCCCAATGTAATTTCAATAGTATATATATATATATATATGTATCCGTGTATGCAGAGTATTCAGCTGACGAGTCCTACCAAAAATTCACTAAATCCTGCTTTCAAGTATAAATTTTGTAGGGATTTTGTGTTTGATTGCATAGAGGATTTCATCATGAGCTGACATCAGTTAGAGAACCATTAGAACACCTGGGAGTACTGGACAGCTGTTTCGTCCTATTTTGGGACTCTTCAGTAGTATGCACTCACTGGGGTTCGAGCCCAGGACCTTCTGGTTACAGGGCGAGCTCGTAGATCATTGAGCCACTGGGACCCGACCCAATGGCTAGTCCATGAATTTTAATTTCTGGCAATTCACGACACAGCGCGACCATTTCGCAACGTCTTCTTCGATGAGTTACTGCCTCATTTTTAACCTGCTGTACCCTACTGGTCCCCACTTAAGCACTTAAAAGACGAAAAAGACATGTTTCCAAATGAGGGAATTATTTTATTTTGTATGATGACTTTAGGGTTTCTAAGGTTCAACTTACAAATTTCCAACATGCGCTTGGTCACAACTCTCGTAAATATTATACACAGTCAATTTTATATTTGCCGCCACACCGATTTAACTACGAACAAGAAATTTTGCTTAAAACATTATATATACAGTATATAGTGTGTATATTCATATATACTTACCAGAAAGGCAGGACTATTTGGACGAATTTCAGTAACAAATACACCAGACTCATTGTTGGGACCCAGATTTACAATGAAAATGCCAAAACCATCAGGGCTCTTCAAAATTATTGATGAGAAGGAGGGATATATGAAATTTGAGAAAGTGATGTAACAAGAAAACAGGAGAAAAATGGGATGATCAAGACTTAGTGGTAGGCCAGCAAAAAACACGTTAGACAACTTAAAGGATTCAGTGAAGTTTTTTTTTTATAGATTTCTAATCAGTTTGCATGATTTATTATAAGACAGTCTGCTAACAATTATTTTATCTATATTTAATAATTTAATTTCATTGATAAAGAGAACTCTCTTTAGGATGGCTTCATATATATATATATATATATATATATATCTTAAAATTCGACAGTGAGTAGAAATATTGAAGTGCGTGATAATATTGGGTTACACGATCATGAATAATTCTTATTTTTACGTCAAGAGAATTTCGCTGATGAATGAATTCTTTTTCCCTTTAAAATAATATATTCCGGAAGTAATAAAAGGCTAACTTTATCGAATGTTTATTGTATACCATTGGTGAAAGATAACACGAATAGTTAAACCATCCGTGTGTCCGATTAACTGCACCTCGTGTGAAATCACAATTCATTTTGCCAATAGCTGGTGGGATAATAATAATAATATAGTCTTCTTTCTACAGTTGCACACAAAAAGCGTACTGCAGTTCACCATTACTCTTATTGATAATACTACTGCTAGCTGAGATTATTGTATTAATTTGAATAGCAATCAACAGTATGCTCAAAGTCACTGAAAACCATTGAGCACTTACACCTTTAGCCCAATAAATAATGGGTAACAGAAACAATGACAGTACGTAAAAGCTACAAACGGTATTTGATGTATTAAGTCTTATAACACTACAAATTGGTTGGTCGGACCATAGTAGCAGAAACGATAAACTTTGCACTCTAACAACATAAATCTGAAATGTAGAAGTCAAGTGGAACACAGAAGTACACCAAGTGATTCTTGATAATGAAGATACATCATGAAATCATGAACAGAATCAGCAAATCGCCGCTCATTATGTTCAGGAGTGAATTGCAATAAGCTCATCGTAAAATATGACAATACTATTTCGATGCTATTGAAAAAATCTGGGTCAGAAGAGATTATCTATCTGGAAATGTTCGGATGTTAATAATATTTCACAACCTAATGTTGATTTATGATGAAAACCAGTCAACAGTGACCGTTTGCAAAGACAAAACTGCCTGTAGCGAGATCGACTAACAATAAACTTAATTAAAACTGAAAGCAAAGTTCATTTAAATTATATATATTATGAGCAATAGTTTGTGCTCGAAACGTCATCAGTTAATATTGCCGTATAACACTGTGTGATTTATCAAAATAAAATCTTATCTATAATGGAGTCATATTCCACCGCAGTGCTTCAGTTTTATATATATATATATATATATATATATGCGCGTAAAGACTAACTGCATCTGTATTATGGTGGTCAACTTCTAGTCACATCAACAATGTAACGTCGACATGATTGATTAAAAGTCTATGAAATAGCTTTCCTTCAGATACGAGAAGAAGAAATTTGCCAAGGTCTAAAGACTAAACCTCTACAATCTTTCCACCCCAAGCTACTGCAGCCAAGCACTGAGTTCTATCAATAAACTACCCAATAGAAAAGGAAACCTTAGTTGTAAGATGTATGGGTAACTATCAGTCATCGGATGTGCGTCGGTGGCACAGTGGTAGAATGCTCGCCAATCACGCAAGTGGTCCGGATTCCGATCCCCGACTGACGTACTCTATTTACCTCACTAAGCCAGTAATAAGGCTGGTCATGAAGCTAGCGACCCCACCCTGTAAAAATAAACAACACTGCTACCGAAACTTCAAGCCTCTAGCTTGAAGCCCTATGTTTCACTGGGAACGTGAAGGAATAAAAAAAAATCGGATGAAAAACTATAAAGAAAGTAAACAGAAACTGAGATTTTATTAGTGACCGAGTTTTCTAGCTTACTGGAGGTAGGAGAGGGATATCAAAAGTGCTAGTTAATACAACCAACGACAGCTAATTCAAATCGCACTGTAAAACCTGTTTTCAAGTAATCATTACCCGCTTAGAACGTTTTTCTCACAATTTTCAAAACATTTTCGTTGATCTTGTGTAACTTTTCGCTATTTTATTTAGTTGAAATGGAACCATCCCTCTATGATGATATTCCAACATACTCCTTTGCCTATTCCAACCGTTAAATTAGAAATTACGGCTGACTGGCCTTCAAGTATATCGGAGTTGTGACGAATTTCAAACAGGAGGAAAAATACAAGCAGCTAACCAGATATCAGAGAGTTTTAACTGATTCGAATATTTGAATCGAACTAGGTACGTATATATATATTTTGATCTAAATAATTTCAGTCTCCAAAGAAAAGTGCGGTGAGATTTCACCTCAAACTGCGTGGATGATAAATTTGACTTCCCCGCCATTAACTTGTTCTATGTTTTAATGGGAGAAAATTATTTTAAAGTGCGCTATATGCATGCCCAGTAATAATGTACATTTCATTTATTCATTTTGAAACTTACTCTCTCTAAAATAATATCGAATAATTGAAGCTTATTGAAGTCTTCTTTCAATTCAAGCATAATTTGTTTTAAAAATGAATGTGGGATTGGTTTGGAACCTGTTGGAAGTAAATCTGATGATGCTGAAGAGAGTATATCTGAAGTTGGATTCTATGTACAACAGTTATTAAGAGAAAAGCATATAAACAATATTTGAAATAAGATAGACAATTATAAAATGTAAAGATTTTCTGCAAATGATACTGACTCTCACCCACTCACTCATATAAATGATGATGGGTGGGTGCACCAGATATACGGAAAATTAGACTCACGCACACACACTAAGTCTTCTGTGCATTGACCATTTCAACGTATCTATGAAATAATCGTTTCTTATGGAGAATAGTCACTAGTACTCAGTGCACGAAAATTAGACCAATGACATAACCAAAACAGTAGTTGAATAGTGAGTTTCTAGAATAAAAGCTATCTAGCGGAAATACATCAACAGAACATCTTTCAAGATCGCTGATTACCTCCTCCTGCATAACTGACACAGAGAAATATACCATTCTGAAGTGAGGTTCCTGATATGTTAGAAACTGTAAAATCCTAAACATAGACGCGATTTTTCTTCACTTCACTATAAAGAATGAAAGACCTAGTCCTCAGGTTATCTGAAATAACAGTTCAACACCAAGATCTGTATCCAGAGCACTCAAATTAAAACAGTCTTTCAGCATAATCCGAATAAGGTTTATGAAAACAGCTATGAAAGGCCATTGTGCACACTGATGACTAGATATAAATTTTATACGGGTTTTGATTTATTTCGGTGTAAATCTCACAGTGAACCAACATGAGTCAGCAAATCATTGAAAATCAAAGAACACCATACAGTTGAGCATCTACGACTCCACCAGACATCAAATCCAAAATCTGTTGAGGTTATGAGGTGACTGTGTTTGGAATCCGACGACCCGTAAATTCTAACGTCTGTCAATTCACCTAATATAGTGCTATCACAAGCCAATGCCATAGATGAGCATCCAGTTCATCACATCCGACATAGTGAACCTCATCCATCAGCGACGAATTCTCACAGAGGGGTCTAGGAGATGAAATCTACGTCGATATATCGAATACTACTATTCTCCTTGGGAATTCTCAATGTATAAATGCAGAGAACTAGAGACATTAGTGTTATTTAACATAAAGGCATAAATACTATCCAGTAATGATTTAAGAAATGCACCCCCTACTGAAAGTCATCACAAATGATACAGGATGGTGATGATGATGTGGTTAAATTACTTTTAAACACTATATTGTCCATTGGTTAGGTACAATTCACCAAAATCATTGTTTGGTAAAAAGATCCACCAATAAGACTCTGTGTGTGTGTGTGTGCGACTTATTGATCAAATCAATGTTTGAACAGAGTTACCTAGAAACCGACTGAATCACACATCGTATGAGAGCTAATGATTACTAGTCAGTTTCCCTAAACTAAAGTAAGTAAAGTAGGACTTGAACCCATGACTCGTTGTCTAAATGCTAAGTGCATATGCCAATGAACCACTTAACTTTAACAATCGAACAAGAACCGTTTTTTTCAACACGGTATGATCAACTTCCACCTAGTGTTCTCATAGCAGTCCAATACCACTATCTTTCACTTACTGAAGTGTGGACTGCTAGTCAGTATATATATATATATATATATATATATATATATATATACTTGATGAGTAACCTCCACATATCGATAAAAGATTACACAAATTGACTATTTACTAATCGAACTTTTTTCTCTAGATAACCCTACTACTTATGAACTATGTCTTACGCAGCTATGATGAGCATATTTTGTGTGTCCGTCCGTGTGTTATCCAGCAATATAAAAGTGAAACAATGAAATTTCATTGATGTAATGAATGAAATTTAATGAAAACAAGTCACTCTTAAGTATAAAAAATATAAATCGCTTACAGAAATGATGTGATTTTCACTCGATGGAGAATAATCTTCAGGTAATTTACTTATCACCTTTATAGGCGATGAAGGAGATGACATTTGTGAATTAGTTGACATAATCGACAAATTCATTGGATTCCGCCGAATAATCAAAGAGACAAAAGGCTTTATTTCAGAAAGAACTGAGGAAGGATCAGCATTATTTATATAATTATTATCTATATCATTGTTATTATTATTGTTGTTCCTAAAGTCATTCACTGAGGCCATGTGTAGTATATGACAAATCTTCGACTGGATGATTTGTAGTACAGTTGACTGATGCATATCACAAACACTGACATCTTCCACCTAAACAAACATTGGGTAAATAGATTGACTACCACAAGAAAGAAGTTGTAACAAAAGTTATATATATATATATATATATATATATATATACTTCAAACTATTTAGCATCATTAAGTCAATGTTCTGAAAGTCGTTAACATTAGATCACTATGAGAGACAAAAACTCAGTGCTAGCATATCAATATTCAGTTAAGTTTGAAGATCCACAGTTTTACTGATTCTATTTCTAAGTATTATTTGTTACTATTCATTCCTTACGTACCAAATGGAACATGGGGACTCAGGGGTTTATTTCTATTGCACTCAGTTCTCTGTTAACACTTCCAACTGGCTTCACGACTGCCCAGACTCCTTAATTTTCTCTTCATATCACCCTCGGAATTCAAACTCATCGCCTCTTATTTGGCATCTATTTGAGGGCATGGGGTAGGTATATCTGATCTACCACCATTTTTATGCATATTTATTGGACTACAGGTTATTGGGTAGTTTTCTGCCAAAGTTTCCTATTGCGCTTAGACTTTGCAGTCATTCTTGAAAGCCTCTGCTACCTGTAAGACGAATTTAGAAGATCCACTATATTGGGCTAAGTCAATAACCATATTTGGCTCTTGTATGCGTGCCTCAAAGATACACTTTCATTCTAAATGTCGCTTTCGAGACCTTCCGACTAGCGTTGCAATAGTTAATTGAGGTATAGAGTTCAAATGTTGATAGTTTCTATGTGAATATGTCAAAGTGGTTTTAAGTGCACAGTGTATTCTCACAAGAGGACCTTGAAGAACATTTATTTATCTCAGCCCATATAGCTCGTTTACTCGCTCACCAATATACAAACCAAACCACTGCGTAAATGTAGGGACTAATTTCGTTAATACTTCGTACCGTAACCAATTTTCTTCGTTCCGATAACTACTGTTTTAAATTCCAAGTTTACTTTTGTACGAAATGCTTTCAATGATTCAGAAAGCCTTTAAAACATCAATACAATCAAAATCTCATCATAGGAACGCAAACAAATTAAACAAACGGATAAATTACTGTGGAAAATTCCGTGCAAACACATATTTTCCATTTTTACTACCACACTTACGTGGACAATTTCATCTCCAATTTGAAGACTATTATCAGCATCAACAGCAGTATTATTATGATACACCACAATTGAATTCGGTTCAAATTCTGAGATGAAATTAGCCATAGTAGTTTCACTAGTCCGACAAGTGATTAAATGTATACCCAGATTGAATGTTCCATCAATATCATCATTATAAGTAATATTTTTATTACTAATATTCAGTTTAGAGTATGGTAGCGGTATACGCATGACCAATATCTTATCCTGATCACTACGTGAATACTGTTTATCATAATTCACTGTAATGTAAAAAAGCAACAGAAGACAAAAGGAAAAGAAATAAAAATAAAAAGGAGCAAACATTGCATCAATAAGTAACAAATAGGGAGAGGATTAACTTCGTTTCCACCGTGCCTTCTAATGATTATCCCCCAAAATAGGTAGTGATTAACATCTCGGTAAAAAAATTTAAACCCTGTGTTTATCAGACATTGTTTACTTTAAGTTAGTAACTCTTGTTAGCTACATCTGCTCTTCTCTTTTCACAGATACTGCCCTGGATTACGAAACTAACACAGTAACGGTGTGGTGAGAACTGACTGCTAGCCAAATTGGTAGACAGTAATTTACGTCAATGTTTACGTACCCAATATTGGTCGTGAGAAAAATGAAAACAAAGACTGAGTCAACAACCAACCACAGTAGGCTTTGCGTAGGTGGATACAATTAGCATATAGATGATCTGACTTTCAAGAAACGGCCACAAAGAGATTAAAGATTAACTTTCACTGAGAAACAACCAATCAGAAGACTTTTTCTGCTTAAAATAATCTATAATAATGCACATGAAAATCTAAAAATATGTGTTGATCTCCTTAATAAACATTCTGTTGCGGGCCCTTGTTTTCTGTTGTTACAATGGTATCTTATACATTAGTATTAATCGAACAGAGTTTTGAAACTACTACAAAAAACCACACTTTGCAGACATTCAGAATACTGTTAGTACATCTGATAAGCAACAATGGAACGATTTTCTTAACGGAACATGGGAACCATGTCAAAGCTGGTCCCATGAAGCTGCCGACATCACAATAATGTTGTACTTATCCGTGGCTGTGGGATTTTTGGGACTTTTTCAAACGCAATATCCTGGAGGACAATATGTTGTGACGCGTGATTTGTACCGCACAGAGTAATCAGGCTTTCAAATTCTGGAAACCTCATGTTTTCCTTTAGGACCAGTCATTTCAGACCACTGCTTATCTATCTCCTAATAACGCAAACTTTTGAAACTCCTGCTTAAGATTGACAAGTAATAGGTATACTACAGTTTAGAATTTTGGTATAAACCATTTTCTTATAAGTTAATTCCATTAAGAACTAATTTTAACAGAAATATATCACGTTATTCGTACACCTTTCAATATTTTCGTTATTCAAATCAGTGTTCGTTGGAATTTCCATTTAAGAATTCATATCATGAATACTAATGTGGTGAGAGCAGGCTGCTAGCCGATTGGTTGGCACTAATCTACGTTAAGGTCTAGGTCACTAATATGGGCCGTGAGAAAATATGAACAAGCCTGAGTCAACAACCAATCACAGCAAAGTTAACGTGGCAAAATATGATTCGCAGAGAACTCTAAATTTGTCAAGGAATCCCGAAACAACCAATCAGAAGCCTGCGTTTGTCTACCTAAACAACCAATCAGATGACTGCGCTTGTCTATAATAATGTAGTTGAAAGATGTATAAATACGTGTTGATTTTCATAATAAAACGATCTGTTGCTTCGCCCTTGTCTTCTGTTGTTACATTTGGTGTCGCTGCCTCCAGAAAATGAAGATCCCGTGGCCAGCTGCGTTTGAAGAAGGAGACATAAGGAGCTTCTTACGTGACTTCGAGGCTGTTGCTGAGCTGGTGGGTGTCAAGGAGCAGGCAGCGAAGGCAGTTGTCTTGGGGACGCTGTTGAGAGGCCGAGCGAAGGCTGCATATGACAGCGTAGACAGGTCAAATGGCACAGCGTCTTGGAAGAAATTGGTTGAACGACTAGTTTCCGAGTTTGACAGCGAAACAGACAGACAGCTAGCAATGCAGCAGTTCCGGTCAATGAAGCTTGGACCTGATGGAGACCCGCTAGTGTTGGCGGTGAAACTGACTAATCTACTTCGACGCGCACTTCCCACTTTAGATGAAGAATCAGAAGCGCAGTTACTGTCTTCCCAATTCATCGAGAGTGTCCCAGACCACATTTCTCAGCGATTACAACTGGTTAACGCAACGCAGCCGATGGATATTAGCGAGCTGGCGAAGGTGACCAGACAGCTGCTGAGCACAACGGTAGCCGCTATAGACCAACCAAAACCAAACGAGTATGAGCAGAAAATTGAAGCATTGCAGCGGGAAGTGGCGGCGTTAAAGTTGGCTGATAGAAAAGACCGGTGTTTTGAATGCGGTAAGCCGGGACACTGGAGAAGATACTGCCCAGAAAGGCGGAAAAGAAAAAATTTCAGACGGTATAATGCTTGTTCTTTCTTTCGTATGAACCTAGATTTAGTGGGGGCTATTGAGAAAGGCGCTCTGTATTCGAAGTTGCGAGTGAATGATCGAGAAGTAGTATGTTTGATAGATACAGGGGCGGCCGTGTCGTTAATAGATAAGAATTTATGTAAGAGTGTTAGCCCGTGTTCATTGACAGTACAAACAGTAGGCGGGTATGTGTTGCGTATAACGGGTAGATCGAACTGTACGGTCGTTGTTGGTGGCTGCGAGGTGACGTTTCCTTTCATTGTTGTACCCGAACTACAGCGAACGATATTAGGAGCGGATTTTCTGCGTGAGATTGGTGCCATAATCGACACGCAAGCGAACGTGGTGGTCACGAAATACGGGCATATCAACATGTATGAGACCAGCGAGATAGCAGCGATTAAGCTGCCGACGGTACACAATGTGACAGAGTTAATTAGTAAATACGATCATCTGTTCACTGGAGATGGCGACCCATACGGTTATTGCGATAAGGTGAATCATGAAATTCCGTTAAGTGATCCGAAAGTAAGGTCATTTACAACGCGAAGAGTTCCATGTCATCTGGAAGGCGAAGTGGAGCGACAAGTGCAAGAGATGTTAAAAGATGACATTATTGAGGAAGCTGATAGCCCGTACAACTCTCCAGTGCTGTTAGTAAAAAAAGCGAATGGGAAGTATAGATTCTGTGTTGATTTTCGACAGTTAAACAGTATGACAGAGTTAAGACCGTGTGCCATGCCAACAGTGGTAGAAACTTTAGATCGCCTACAAGGTGCGAATGTGTTTTCGGTTCTCGATCTTCGCTCAGGATACTGGCAGATACCGATAAAACAAGGTGATAGAGATAAGACGGCTTTCATCGTGGGTCAGACACAATATCGATTTAAACGCATGCCGTTTGGACTAGCAGGTGCACCGTTTACGTTCAGACGACTGATGAAGCTATTACTTAGGAACTTGAAAAACGTGGAGGTTTATGGTGATGATCTCGTCATATACAGTCAAAACGAAAACGATCACGTCAACCATGTAGAAGCCGTGCTGCGACGCATCGAAGAGTTTGGACTACGCGTCAACAAAACCAAGTCCCAGATAGCCAAAAAGAATGTTACTCTGTTGGGACATAAAGTGGGAAATGGTGAGATTAAACCACTGCCGGAGAAAATTTTGACGATTAAAACGATTCCAGCCCCGAATTCAAAGAGAAAACTGAGACAATTCTTGGGTAGAGCAGCGTTTTATAGCCGCTTCGTGAAGAACTTCAATGAGATAGCAGCCCCTCTATACAGGCTACTAGGTGAGCCAAAGTTTGTTTGGTCGGAAGAATCGCAGAGGACATTCGACAGAATTAAACAGCTGCTCGACCACCAACAAATGACGCTAAAACTACCTGTGCCAGGAAGACAGTTCACAGTGTGCACAGATGCCAGTGACTACGCTATAGGTGCGGTCCTAAGACAGGACGAGGGAATCGTTGAGTATGCCAGTAGGGTTTTGACACTCGCAGAGAGAAAGTATTCAACGATAGAAAAAGAATGTTTAGCAATGGTATGGGCAGTCGACAAATGGAGACCTTATTTACTCGGCCGGCGGTTCCACATCGAAACTGATCATAAGCCGCTACAATTTTTGAAGACAGCGAGAGACCCACGGGGGAAGTTGTCACGGTGGATGTTGCGTCTTCAGGAGTACGATTTTACGATCTCACACGTTCCTGGAAGTGAAAATGTCTTGGCAGATTTGTTATCGAGACCAGAAGATGAGTCTGAGTTGCCCGAGGTCGCTTACGGAGTGCATGCAGTAGAACAAGACCCACTAAGACTTGCACGTAGGCAGAGGTTGGACGATACGCTGAATACAGTAATACAGGTGATCACCAACGGAATAGAAGTGGATCAAACTACGGCGAGTAAGGAGCTAACCACACTACTCAGACAGAGGGATCGACTCAGAGTGAATGCCTACGGGACTCTGACCTGGCGAGAGAACGACGGAAGCTGGCTGGCTGTCATACCTCAATCGTCGCGCCACGACATGATAGAAGAATGTCACCAGCTAGCGCATACAGGCGTGGCCAGAACGACCGATCTCCTAAGACAAAGTATGTACTGGCCAGGTATGAGAGAAGACGTAGCAAGATACGTACTTGGATGTCCACGGTGCCAGCTGATGAAAGGTGACCGGTGTATACGACCACCACTTCAGTCGATTCCAGTTACCGCGATAGGTGACTTGTGGTCCGTAGATGTCATGGGTCCATTTCCTCAGACATCCAATGGTAATCAGTACCTCTTGGTAATGACGGAACACGCGACACGATGGGTAGACGCCGTAGCAATCCCAGACCAACGTGCAAGAACCGTGACAGATGCAGTAGTTAGACACATTGTTGCAGACCACGGCGTACCGAAGACAATACTGACAGACCAAGGTCCCTGTTTCGAGAGTGAAGAGTTTACTTCCCGTTTGCAACAGCTGGGCATCAAGAGGATCAGAACGACCCCATACCATCCACAAACGAATGGCCTAACGGAGAGAAACAACCGTACACTGAAGGAGTGGCTGGCCTCGAAGGGCGGGAACTGGGAAACGGAGCTTCCACTGATTTTACTAACACATCGCGCTACCACTCAGGAAACAACGAAGAAGTCACCCTTCCAACTGATGTATGGTAGAAAACCACGATTTCCGGTACACAATGAGACCTGGCCCATGCACCAAAAGTGGAGTACGACGAAATTAAAAGCAGAGAGGAAAGAGGCAGTCAAGAATGTAATACGGAAGCAGCGCAGTGATGTCATGAAGTCTCAGATGAAAGAAAGGACGCAGTGCATTACCTTTGCAGTCGGGGACCAAGTGAAGTGTAGAGACAGGAGATATACAGTTGGAGGCGGGCTAGGTTCACGGAAACTCCTTCCAAAGTGGGAAGGACCATACACAATCACAAAAAGACGGGGTCAAGTATATACCATCCGAAGAGGTGATAAACAGAAACGAGTTAACGCCAGTCAGCTCCAAAGATGGGTACAGTGGGACAAGCCGGTCAGTAACAATCCTCAACTAGAGGATGTAGCACCCAGAAGGTCGGAACGTCTGCGCACGAAGCTATTTGACGGGGGGACGAGTGTGGTGAGAGCAGGCTGCTAGCCGATTGGTTGGCACTAATCTACGTTAAGGTCTAGGTCACTAATATGGGCCGTGAGAAAATATGAACAAGCCTGAGTCAACAACCAATCACAGCAAAGTTAACGTGGCAAAATATGATTCGCAGATCACTAAAAATTTGTCAAGGAATCCCGAAACAACCAATCAGAAGCCTGCGTTTGTCTACCTAAACAACCAATCAGATGACTGCGCTTGTCTATAATAATGTAGTTGAAAGATGTATAAATACGTGTTGATTTTCATAATAAAACGATCTGTTGCCTGGCCCTTGTCTTCTGTTGTTACACTAATAATTAATAGTAATGTACACATATTCATGCTTGTAAAAATGGCTTTCTTATTTTTGAGAAATCAAAATTAAAGAAAAACGAGCAAGTGAGCAAGACATATATTTGTGTTACATTTCTTTACTAATTTCTCATATCTTTGAATGTGACTGATGTAATTAGACAGGTTTCACATCAGTAAACAATCTGAACTCTTTATTCGAAAGCTCCTATAACAGTATATCCAGGTAAATAAACTTAACTGAAATTGAACACGTATGTATGGAAATCACACAAAATATTTATGTATACTACACAATCTCATTCTTAATTGAAAACTCTTTTTCTCAACTCCGACAACGTTTGTGTTTGAAAAATACCTTATTTCCTGAAAATAATGTTCCCCCCCCCCTCCTCCTGCACACAATATCAAAATCAATAAATATTATGTGTTAGATAATGGTTCATAATTCAGAAAACGTAAACAACTACACGACACATCTCTAAAACAAAACAGAAAATTGGCTTCCATTAACTATTAATTCTGACTCAGAAGTGAATTATCTGGTAGCTTGGTGCATACCATAACGAGGCAATAGAATCAACATAAATAGGGAAAATCGAAAAGTGATGAGTATAAATATAAACAACTATAAAGTCACACATTTGACTTAATCTAACCCTTTTGGAATCTTAGGATTAGTCACATTGTTTGGTAAACTGATTTCAGATGTAATATCGACTATTCAAGCAGCCGACACAATCACCACCACGAGAACAACATAAACAAACTAACTAACTAACTAACCAAAGGATTACAAGGGAATTCAAATTAAAAATCAGTACTTTTCGAAATGTTATCACAGAAGTTGTTACATATATTCCATGCATCCTATCACAGGAAATACAAGAGGGGTACATACAGACATTCAGACAGAGAAAACGAAGGCATTGTAAAACTTAAAACAAGAGAGAATAAAATTACTTACATATTTGACCCATGCCTGATTTTATACTTCCAAAAGACTGTCGTCTAGTTGTTATTGAGGATCGACGCGGCGGTATAGCAGGAGGTGAGTTATTCCACCAACCATTCAGTAATTTTGTTGGAACTTGATCATCGTCATCTTTAACAATTGGCGAGGAGACTTTAGATAGTGGAAATTGATTACCATTATTACTATCATTATTACTGATATTACCACTTCTTTGCCTTGATTCATTTGTTCTATGTGAATAGTTGTTGTTCTGTGAATCTGATGATGAGTTATAAAGATCTGATGATGGTATTTCTCGGGATAAAACATTCATTTCATCACGTAACTCCATATCAGTCTGAATGAAGTAGACATCAAAGAAAAGATGTATCGATAAAGATAATAATAATAATACAAATAAAGAGAGACAGAATGAGAGAGAAAAGTGAGCGAAATGAAACTGAGAACATTTTATTAGTGAAAATGTATGTTCCGATAAAATACAACCTTGAGAACACAAACGAAAACAATATTCAATCAATTAGTGAACAAATCAATAGTACTAACTCAACCTAGGCGCATTCCTTCCTGCTGATTGACTTCAGCATTCTAACATCAGTACTAGCCCAGTCTCAATTGACATGCACTGTATTTTCTCTTTATTTGTTCATTAAAGAAAATGGAGAGATATTTTCCAACGTTTATTAATAAGTACGCTTTACTACCTGTTGATTAAACAGTTCACAATATGAATAAAACAGTCCCCTACATATCAACTAAGATATATACACATACATATACCTTAGTTATAAAGTTATTTGTGGTATAACCTGTGTTTACGTCACACCAACTTAATACATATATGAGGTAATTCGAAATCAACTGCTAGAATTTTACATCCCGACGTGCCCTACAATTATTCGTAGGCTGGTGATCATTTTTTTTGTAGGAACGAAACTTTCGAAATTCCATCTTGAAAGAAATCGTGCATAACTGAAACTGAATATTTATGCCCTGAACTCTGCGTTTATACAACATTAATGTATTTTTCTCTATCAGAGAATTATGATAGAGCCATCGACTACGCACTTCTATAAGAGGAATTCTATAACTCCAAAGATCAGATAGTAAGTTCTTAGTCACATATCAAACGTTACTGCAGTTACTCTGAAGATACAAGTGACCTGACTAACGTTATTATTATGGTTATCAAACTAAATATCAATCTCTTTGGAATAGCATATTATCAGAAGGTACGAACTGTTTCTGAATTAACACCTGGATAATACAATAACAGATATATATATTATCAGAATTGTGACATGGATTGTTACTCAGATAGTTCTATAAGAGGTCAAAGGTGAGCACAAATCGCTCACCGGCAATCCCTCTGTCTCCGGCAATGAACAAAGCGGATCTACATCTTCATGAAGACATCGATGCCTTCGAGGTTGTTGTACAGATGAGTACCAAGCATGTAAACCTAGACCAAGGACTTTCTGTTGATACAGCGCCAACTACTATCACTTAATATCAATTGACTACCTTCCTTTTTTGTGCCGACAGCAACATATAATGGGTAAATTAACACATGGTGAATGGAAATGGATGAATGCGGATTCGAAAACCGGAAACACACGCACGTAAATACAATACACGCCAATCAATTAATCAACTTTAAAGAAAAAGCAGTCATATGACTACATAAGAATAATGATATAAAGAACACAATAACAACAGCAACTAACCAATGGTTCAGGATTCTCCATATCACTAGAACTTGGTGAGATACCTGATTGAACAACAGTACTACTTTTTTTTTGTAAAAGCTTGTTATCACTACCGCCTGGTGGTACCGAGGACATTTTAACAGATGCAACCGTAATACCTAAACCATTTGGTAACTTTATTCAAATAAGGAAAACAAAAAGAGGAGGAGATAGGCAGAGCACGGTAACAACAACACTCGAGCATAACTACAAAATGTAATTCTTTTTTTAAAACATTAAAGGAAAAACAACAACTGAAATTATGCACTTAAACAAGTTCTACAACATGAATGTGTAAAACACATAACATCTGATGTACATACCTATCTCATTTAACATGAACTTTTTCATATGAGTATCTTTTCCCCCTGGAAAACAAATTCATTACACATTAGAAGTTAAGTAATCACGCTCACATTGAATGATAATAGGAAGCCATTCACTATAGGTGTGTGAGCGCGCGAGAGAGAGGGAAAGAGTGTAGAACATCCTAGATCGCAAGCAAATCCAAATTATTCAGATGCGATATAAACTACTGAAAATGCTGACAAGAAAGATGATATGTGGTAAAAAGAAGAGACTCTTCTCTATGATTATATTTACTACGGCTAATACAACAGCAGAAGTGTGCACACTATCCTTTTTTGTCATTGTGTTCAACATGTACTTCATCGCACAATAATTAGTTTATAGAAATCATTTTATTTTAGTTTCACGGCCCGTGATTTGTTACAAATGAAATCCTATATATTGATTGATCTATTGTTCAATCATTGTCACATAGGCTATCATTGGTAAATTGCACTTACCAATGATGAGGTGTTTCAGCAACATCAAGAAGAGTAAAGTTATCTATCATATTATGACCAGCATCACCAAGAGCTTCGGTCAAGCTACAATGATCTGTTGTAGAAAAACCGAGTTGAAGACGTCGAAAAAATCACAACCCTGATACTAATGTCATATTTTTGACTAGATGACAGTTTTTATCCGACCATATTACAGTTTTCTATGTGGATAAGTGGTAGGTGTTTCAGATTGGAATGAATTACCCTTAAAGCTTTCCAGATGAAACGCAACTAAATATGATAGAGAAGATTTGCAGCTCAGGTGGATAATTTTGAAGTGGTTGTGTTCTCCGAGCTGGATAGTTAATTAGAGAAGCTTGAAAGCTTCGCTAACCCTAACCACCTCATGAAACACAACTAAGGCTAACCTTCATCAATACGCAGTTATTTTATGCAGACAAAAAAGAGAAAGAAAGCTCGAAAATTTTCTCGTAGAACAAAGGTAATATATAATATGACTTAACAGATAATAAAACTGTATAATTAACAGTATCCGTAAATTCAGCATGCCAAGTTCATTTCAAAAGACAAATCTACTCATTCATACTAAATCACACATTATAATATCGTCACAACATAAAGTGGACTGATAGTGTACTGTTGTAGCATGTACTACTGTGGTGAGAGCTGGCTGTTAGTCAAAATTGGTGGACAGTGATTTACGTCAGTGTTTATGTCCCCAGTATCGGTCGTGTGAAAAATGAGAAAAAAAGCTTTGCGTAGGCGGATACAGTTAACATATAGATGATCTGACATTCAGGAAACAGCCACAAAGAGATGCAAGGATAACTTTCTGTGAGAAACAACCAATCAGAAGACTGTGTTTTTCTTGGCTAACAGTAATCTATAATATGTATATGAAAATCTATAAATATGTGTTGATTTCCATAATAAACGATCTGTTGCCTGGTCCCTTGTCTTCTGTTGTTACACTACTACTGACAAGAATTCATCATTAAAAACGTCATAATGAAACGCGATAGCTAAAAAAATCTATCTATAGCAACATTACCTGACTTTTATCCACTGGATCTGTGTTGGAATTATTCTTGAGATCAACTCGATTATCAGTATTATCATCACCGTCATCATCATAATGACATACAACCAATCGAAGTTCACGTAGATCCGATTGATTTGCAAGGTGTTGTAGGTAAGAATTAACATAAACTGGACCTTTTGAAGCGACATCATTGCCTTGTATCTTTTAGTGTTGACACATATTTGATAAATGGATAGATAGAGAGAATAACAAAAAAGAAAACAAAATGTATGTGAAGCAGACAAGCATATATACTGGGAAAAAGAAAAATTTTGGCACAAGACAACATAACATTGAACAAAGCAATTAACACTGGAATCCCGTATATCGTTTATGCTTGAATCTGTTACAACAGACGAGAATAATATCAAATCAATAAACCAACATTAGACATTAAAACAAAAGGAAACATTAACTCGAGGCCGGTGTATTCATCTTAAGAGCTGGATATCGTTGGTTTGAACCCTACTCCACGTATAAAAACCCGATCAGCTAAGTGCTCGTTACGTAATATATTTTCGCGACTACGACTGATCGTTTATATTTATTTATTTATTTATTTATTTATTTTTGATTACAGCTTGATTCCAGACCGTATTTTTGGTACAAGTGTGGAATTTTCAGCATGGATATCAGTAGCCCAAATTTCGCAGGCCGACCATAGATACCTTCTCTACTTCAAAGACCAGAATAACCAGTTAATAGAGTTATACCCTAAAGGGTATTTATGCATCCAGACACACCATCGCAGATGTGTCGTTGTATATTTTCGAACCACTGATATGGGCCAGACTTTCATTCATTCAATACGTAGTGCAACACCGGGTCTCAAGATTTCCTGCACTTACAGTAGCAGTGGGGTCAATAGGCTAACGCCCAAACCCATAATTTGCAGACTTACTGCAGGCTAGCGCACCCAATGAGCTCTAGAAGTTCGTTGACTGAGAATTGACCCTGTACCTCCCATTTACCCGGCGATTACTATACGATGGAACCATCGCCGTATGCAAAGCCAGTGTTATGCGGGATATTGTAATGTTGGCTGGCTCTCTTCACACACAGTTAACAGTTCCTCCGGTAAACCCTTAACAGATAGCTTTGGTAGGTATTATGTACTCTTTTCTGGAAGTTCAATTAACAGGATGTGAACAAGATGGAACACTAAAAAGACCTATCTACAGAAAGTCAACATGGATCGGACAACTCACTAACTTTCATAGTTGGATGTCTCTATATACGAAACGTAACTTGATCCGTTCACTGGGCCATAGAATCTGTAGAAATTGCAGTCATGACACTATGGATGAGGAGCCGAACACTCTGAAAAGAATCCTCCCGGAGAATGACTACGCCGAAGGTTTCCCTACAAAATCCATGAGACCTAAACCACCAAAATCGTCCCCCATTTTCTGCTCCCAAAAAGTATCTCTACTTGAATCAACAATTCAACGGGGACTCATCAGCAGAAATACTGAGAAACGCCTGTCCCGCTCACTGAAGAGAGTCTTCGCGGCTGAACTACGACTAACTTTCCCTAGGAAACCAATAATTCGCATGAACGTGAAGAATAAGCTACCACTGTTGGCCGGCTTCATCAATTTGCATCGACTAATTCACCTGCTTGTGTGATTTCGTCCGTACTCAGAGTTTGCTATTCAAACGTATCATCGAACACTCATCTACAGTCATGGTTTTATAAAGGAGAAAAAAGATTCCCCCCGAAACTCTATCCTGGTACACCCGATCGAATCTGGACACCAAGCTAACCCACAAAAGAACTTACTTACTTTTACTTTACTTCGGCTATCTCCTACGGGAGGATGAGCCGGCTTCATGAACGTCTCGAATCATCGCTGCCCAGGCGCGGCAATTTGTAAGAGAGTTCATGAAGTTTCATGGGAATTTGGTACGAGTGATGTCCCCAGAATCGCTCGGCCTTTTGTTTGAGAGTGCAGCTCTAGCCTTTACACAGCCAAGTGTGACCTACAAGGCAGTAGGAGTGGAGTAAGGAGTCCACTATCCATTGGCAGCCGGTGACCGGAGTTCGGTTCATACGCCTTTTTGAATGGGGCCAGACATCCAGGACATCCAACAAGCCCTTTGTCCATACGTCTGCCGGTGAGCTCCAGTGAGCTTCATACGCCAGTCGTTGGAGGTTTGGAATCAGGGTTTAGCCATCTCCCCTAGACCGTCATCCAATGGACAGTCAACCCGGTGGAGAGCGCCGGGCATCCGCTTTCGCCCTCTCACTTTGGTGAGAAACACCTCCGCCACGTGAAGGCAGTGAGTAGGACTTCCTCAGGAGAGGCTATGTAAGACGCCCGGTCATATGGGAGCATTTCAAGAGGTGTGCGGAGGGGTGGCCAACCCGCAGCGCAAGGCACCCACCCCCGACCATCCTGAGGCTTTGGAGTTATCTGCGGAATACGTGGGAATCTCGAGAAAGGAGTGCAAATCAAACTTCTTCAAACCACAGAAGCAATGGCGATTCACATGTTAAACCCTGAACTCTGTATACAAAATGAGTTTGTTCAGACATCAAAGCTACAGTGGACCTGATCCATCTAAACACCAAATACGTAATTTTTTTGTCTCTTGATTGTATTACTTTCTTCCCCCACACCATATCAAATCTCCACCCCTAATTACCACTGCTATTGACTCTCGTTCAAATTTTAGTTGGATTCTACTCAACCACGTCAATTATATTACGTCACTCAAATTACTTATTTATTTTATTTTAGTTTCTACCCGATTAACGCTTTCCACATTAAGTAACCAGTTACATAAAATTCACAATTGTAATGACACATCTTTGGAAATATTCCTTTTGTTGCCAAGACAATTTACTATATATATATATATATATATATATATATATATATATATATGAGGTCATGCAGCTTGAGAATGGTATCGGGGAAAAGAGTAACCTTTAACTGAACGTTTTCTTTTATAAATCAAGAAACTCACTTGTAATATTAACAAACCACAATTAAGAAGTTTACAATTTTTCGCAATACTATTGGGAAGAATTTTTGAAATAATACTCGGATTATCTATATTCCCTGGTGGAAGGTAATTCCTACTCGCACAGATTTCAGACCCTTAAAAGTAAGAAAAAAGAGCGAGAGGAAAAATGAGGCAAAATAAATCTCCAATAAAACAAGAGGAAAACACAAATGAACTGAATTTATTTCTTTTGCATATGTTAACAAAATATTCACTTGACAAGTAAATAATAATACTGACTACATTACACAAATACTTGCTTTCGCTAACAAGTAGTATATACTGTATAGCTTTAATATTGATAGCAACACTTTAGTACATGTGGTTAAACAAACACTGGATACTATTGTACACGTTTTGTTTTCTAAAGAAATCTATGTTGAGATCCTGTAATGACTTTGTATCAATGTCTTTTTGTTATTTGGATAGTCAGAATTCGAGTAATTGTCTAGGTGAGAGGTAGAATCAAGTGAAAGCGTACTACCCATCTGCTAAAAAACTACACCTGTTTAAATGAGCGTAATTAAGATACAAGTAGAAACGAAGCATTTCTAAAACAACAGGCTATATAAACTAGCACAAAAGCATGAAGCTGCAATTTTATGTTCAACTGTGAGACCCGATGTCCATATATGACCGTCGAACAACAATTACTGTCGCAGACTAGTTCACTGAAACTGGTGAATTCAAGGGTATGCTTTATCATCACTCGCTAACGACATATTTTGTTCGGACAACCTATCAGGTGAGTTTTCATGCGCAATTTATTAGCCACACACAGAAATTTTCGCGAACTATCCATTAAAATTTGGCAAATAAGTCTAAACGATGGCCTATTTAATTTTAGGGGTTCACTTTCCAGGTAGTGGACTCATGAATTTGAAACATTTAAGTAATTCGGGTATTTGAAACCTACATGTAGGTAAGCTCAGGTATGTAACTAGTGCACTTAACAACCTCACACTGTTTCTAAAGTTTGTAATTTTGCTTTGTGTAATATATCACCATGCTGAATTATTAATCCAACTTACAGTTTTTCGAACGATCTATCACACAACTGACTAACTAACCATGCATAAAATTGCATCATTTCAGGTTTTGTGAGATTTTTGGCAGTTTGAAAAGGAATGAGTACGATAACGATTTTGAGCCGTGTCACCAAAAGCCTTGAAGCATTGATCTCCAGGATTCTGGGGACAGGAATTAAGTAGACTACTGAACCGTAAATGGTTCAACCCAACAGTCAAAAAATGCATGCGTTGATCTCATGTTTTTGGTCCGACCTTTTTAACTGTTTTCCAGTCTTCTGCTGATTTAGTTAACATTCTTTCTCAAGAGAGGCATTGGCTAGCCATGCGTAACACATTTTGCAGCAGTCTTGACCGACAGAACTTCACAGTCTCCTTAGCCAACACTCTACTACGCGACCAAAATAATCCATCCGAAACGAGATGGAATGTAGGCGCTCATATTTATGGGCAGAAACATTTCCAATGGGCTCTGATTCGAAATGGCTTCATTTAACCTTACCACGATTCTTGATGAAAACCACTCTGACAGTAATCAATTCTCCTGCAAATATCTCAGATGAACACCCTCCATATTGTATAGATGTTTAATATGCATACTACTGGTAGAAAAGACACAATTACTTACGACATTCAGCTTTCCACTGATATAAGAGGAGAATTTGTGTATTGTGTCAGAGTCTAATTCCATCATAGATAATTTTATTTAATAAAACACAATGACAGAGTATTTTTGAAGCTTTAAAACAATTAGTTCCCTTTATGAATTTAGATAAAGCAATAAGAAGACCTAATTTGTCTGAATCGTGTAATGTATTTGCGCAACACATTTCGAACAATATGATCACACACGAACTTTTTTGCTCATAATCATATCAAGAGGTTCAATAAACTTTCCAATTTTGTTTATACAGCTTCATTATTTCTTATCCTTCTGGTCTTATTAGTAATAATATTTTACATATCTATGGTATCGGTGTGTTACGCAATTCCAGTCGCACATGTTAAGATCCAGTAACCAACCTCTCCCTGAATCTAACTAACTAAATTACAACTACTTAGAAATGCAGTTCCATCTCAATGTATTTACAGAATACGGTGGAACTCAGCTCTCCAGTCCCTTTATATAACTAAGTAAAAGGGAGCTACTACTTTACCGAAATTTTAAAACACCAGTGGTATATTAATCCAGTACTATTATTCTTATTTACTATAAACAAAGGAAGTCAAGGAGACAGATGTATATTCTAAGAATGAAATGAATATGCACACGAATGAAATGACAACAAAATAAGGGTATTTTATTCATGAAAAAACATACACACACATGTACAGACATGTCAAACAAAGGTGAAAACTGCATAATTTAACATGCTGTGTATAAAACTATTCGAGAAAAATGTTTAAATTTTAAAACATTTTTATCAATGTGCTCTTGTTATTTTTACAGAACCCGTTTATTTCAGAGAGGTGAACACAAAACAACAACCCTCTCATAAACCATAGCAAGATACCAATACTGATATGATCAGATTTTTTTAAGGATTGGTGACGATTTTCGAAAACTAAACACCCCCGCTAAAACATGATGAACTATACTAGTCTCATACTCGGGAGTATAAACACATGCGTTCATGAATGCCTGTGTGCATTTCGGTTTGGCCACTAATGATCACGACATCGAATTTTAATTAATATAAATAAAATCTAAATGGTATAACCGTTTTGTTTGTTGTTGGTTTTTCTAAATATTTATGTCCAATCTAAATTTACACAATTCAAGATTTGAAATCAATCTGAACGATGATGGTGTCAATGAGATATAAGAGAATTAAGCACAGAATACACAAACACACATATCCCTGTACACACACACATACACTCATACACTACACTTAAAAAATCCGATAGTACGGCAACTCAATTCACTCAAATATGAAACATAACAACAAAATGATGAAAAGAGAAAATTTATTTATATCGTCAGTAAAAATGTATGAAATAAACAAGAAGGTAATCGCATCATCGATATAAATCAATATGAAATGAAAATACACTATTTCCAGTAAACTAGAGCGATAGATAGATAATGTTGTAATATGAAATACGGGAAACATTTTCAGCATAGGTTGTGAATATTTACTCGAAAAAGTGTAATTGCCTTTAAGCACATTCACGGATGCATGAGTACAACATGAAGCTAAGATGACATTTAGTACGTAAATTAGATCGAAATATAAGCATTAGATGGTAGGAAGTGGGAGTAGTGAGAAGAATACCGCTGATCATTACAAATGGATGCATCTTGACAGCTAAACATATATCTCTATCATTTGTGATCAAGAAGGAACTATGGGGTACCTAGGTTGCACGTTTATTGCCATTCATTAGAAACGCAAATACCTGTAACTTCGAAGAAACGCAGAGTTGAACCCACATAAGTAAGATAGTGTCACTCTAATCCAAAAAGAAATGCTACAACCCATGAAAGAGTAAAAAAACAAATATATAGGCAATATCCCCACCAAACAAACAAATAAAGTAGAGCAAAGATGCTGATGATGATCAACTCACCAGATGCAACTAGACCCCATGCTTGACTACTGTCTGATCGATGAAGCACAATTTCAATTGGAACAGACCAATGCGTAGGTTGAATGATAGACGAATATGGCATAGAACTGCAATTGTAAAAATAGAATAGTTAACATAAGGAAACAAAGGCAGATTTCAATTTTGGTCGATGAATATGATTCATTGACAATGCACATTGTATTCAGGAAAAACGACAACGACTACTACTAGACAGAACGACAAACCACATGCCTAAACAGTGTGATCATTGTAACACCTAAATGAATACTTCAGGCAGTCAAAGAAACACACTGGACCGAAACGAAACAGAAATGGAACTATTATAGTATGACAACAGAACCCAAGGGACAACACTGCTTGAACCCGGTCGCAAATAATATGTTTGGGGTGGTTTCCGGCGTTGCATCCATATATAGAACCTAAAGTCAGCTACCGACCACCGCACTAAACAACTGAGTAGTATGCAAGTTCTGTTATGTTTGGACAAAGAGAACAAACACTGGTCCACAAATTAACGGGAAACACAAGTTAACTGATACCCGTCCTATAATAAGCGGTTTTAGATACACTATAACTAAAATATAAAAATATATCCAACGAATCAGTCTCAGCCACACCACTCCTAGATCCTACTGCTACCGGCTATCACCAAACAAATAATGCCATGAGGACGTCAGAGGAACGTCAAATCATAAATGACAGGAGCTGACATGTCAACAGAGACCGAACATTTCATTTAGATGAATCAATCAACCAATCAACAGGAAATTCAACAAAATAAATAATTTCAAGCAAATAACTAACCTTTTTTCATTCAGTGGATTCATTGCTTTAGATAAACACTCAATTCGATGAGATTCAACAACAGAAGCAGGTAAATAATTTATGCTAAAGGGGAAAATGACATGAAACTGTTTACAGAAAATGGCTTATATATATATATATATGCACGACTACACGACGGGAGAGAATATAGAAAGGAATTATAAATATGGAATTGTGCTAAGCTTTAAAAACCCGTAAATTTAAAAATTTATCTGTGCACGTATGTACGACTTAATTGGCTCGGAAGTAAATGAGCCACATATATTGATCGAAAGCTGATAATACTGCGAAGTTATCCCAGTAATTATCATTGTTTTACCCTTGCGTTCCGAATGGAACATAGGATTTCAACAACTCATCTCCATTTCGCCCTATCTTCTACCGTCTTCTTCAACTTGGACCACGATTGCGCACAATCTCTCATCTCCTCCTCACACGATCTCCTTCATGTCACCCTAAGACGACCCACTCGTCGCTTCCCACTAGGATTCCACTCGAGAGCCCGGCGCACGATGTCATCCGAAGGTCTCCTCAATGTATGTCCAATCTATCTCCATTTTCTCCTACATATTTATTGAATGATCAAGGAAATCAGTAATAACGAAATTGAGTTGTAAGTAATCGGTTACCATGATAACAAGTATCATTTCAGTTTATTTAAATCGAGGATATAATCCAAATAGTCAATGGCAATTTACAAAGACCACAGAGAATCAGCTGCATAGCTGCGTCAATCGTAGAATGTTCACCAACCACATGGGAAGTCCCCCATATCGATTCCCCGTCAACCACTACTAAGCCCAGAAATGAGGGAAGTTTGGGATAGTGTGAGGCTAGCAACCCCATCTCGTTAATACGAAATAATACCACCTCTACTCAAACTTCAAGGTTCAAGCTTGAAGCCTTATATCCCACTCAGGATGTAAAGAAAAAAATATGATACTGAATATGGTATTATGGTTTATAAGGTTTCAAACAATTTTACTTAGAATTAAATACACAACCAATGAACTGACTAACTAACTAACAGACAGATAGACAAGGACATAACAGGATAATTTAGCAATGCAGTTTTTAAAAATTTTCAGTCATGACTGACCGAAAAACCGACTAACCAACTTAACAGAAAACCTAGCATCCATCATTCTGCATATACCCACCTACCACCAACACCACTACAGGCTTCCATCCACTAACTTATCAACCTCAAATACAAAACAATAATGATGCGGTTGAACTATGACAGATATGAACTAGATATTTGATTTGTAGTCAACGTAATACAGAGAGAGAGGGAGAAATAGTTTTCATTAAATTACAGCTTGTCCTAAAATTCACTTTCCACTACCTTGTAGATGTATATGTATTTGTGTGAGTGTATGAGCGTATTAGCTTAAGTAAGAAAATCTCATGATTTCGGAACTGTGAGAATGAATACAGTTACAGACAATGAACACAGTATTTTATTTATTTATTTTTTTATCCATTTGCATCCATATATATATATATATATATATATATATATATATGCCCCGGGCTAGCTGTTCGGAAATACAAACGACACCATTTGTGACTGACGTCTTCGAACAGATCATAAATTCTGTATGATTATGGATCAGCGATTATTTCAACAGAATTAATTCAATTAATTATAATCAAATAAGCATTTAGGCATATTGTTGTTGTTATTACTATTAGGAATCAGTTATCCAGAACACAGCTTTTATGCTCCGATGCAGTACAACCCACAATTTACTGTAGATGATGGTAGTATCCAGCTTTCCAGGCAAAGTAGAATTCGAATTAGCTTCTCACTGATTGACAGCCAAGAGTTAAAACCAATCTGCTAAATCTTAGAGATTAGTAACGAAGATGTGTTTGAAAAACAAATGTTTTGTGAACTGTGTTAGAAACAGTTTTTCACTTCACTTCAACATTTTGGTTCGATAAAAAAAAATGAATTGTTCTGTAGACAAAAACATGTTCAGAAATATTGATACATTATGCTTAATTGTATACAGTGAAGAGGAGTTGAAACAGTATGGACTAACACAGATGCAGGTGAAAAGTACAGCAAAAGACATAAGCAAGTGGAGACGTGAAGTTGAAGCCCTAAGTTCCACTAGGAACCCAAGGGAACAATAATAATAATAATTGTATACAGCATCTACTCTCCGCCTTCTAGATGAAGCAGTGAAAGTAAAAGAATGAATTAACACACTATGGATAAAAAATCTTTAATGTAGTCTACGTAAACTAGAATGATGTCAATTTTCTAGTAATTTTACAACTTTGACACAGATTGACCACTATTCTTATGAAGTAAAAAAAATCCCAGCAATAACTCAAACATGCCACCATTAATCAAAGTTCGATCATGAACTGACTTCAATGACAGAACCATCTCGAGCTAAGGGGTACTAGAAAGTTGTTTCGTCCTTCTTTGAGACTCCTCATCGGTACGAACTCATGACTCTAACCAGTGGAGATCGTACCCTGGACTATCGTCTTATGAGGTGAGTCCACTAACTATTCAGCAACTGCAACGTTATCTATCAGCACATAAATTGAAACTTCTCCCAATATGCAATATATTGCAATACTACCATTTAGTGCCATGGGTAAGTATTTGACCCCACATCCAACTTGATTGACTTTATTGACGACGACTTCTTAATAACTTCATCTTTTAGTCAATCGCTAGTAAGCAATAGATTAATTCTTAAGTATGGATTTGCTGCGGTTTGATTGATTTAAAGTTTGATCATGAACCAACTTTAGTTAGGGTTACATCCCATTGATTCAATGTTGAACAAGGTCGTCTTCTGAGGTGACGGTCCTTGGTTCGATCACCAGTGTGCGAGTTTATGGGTAGGTACTGATGAAGAGTGCCAAACAAGGAGGAAACAACTGTCCAGTACTAATCGGTGGTTTTCCGTGGTTCTCTTCTTGAAGTCACCTCGTGACTAAACTTAATATAAATCAATTCCCTGCAAATCAGCGCTTGAGAACTGTTCATTTACTTTCGCCAAAAAATCCAGTAGTAAAAGACTGAAAATACCTGGAATACAAAAAGGAATTCTTTTTCATCATAAAAGTCACCTTCAAAAGTGGTACAGTCGCATTTTTTATTTGAAACATATGTATAACAGTCGGTCACTGAGTAACCACTGCGTGTGTCGCAGTTACTCAAAAGTGGTTTTTAAGGTCAGAAGGGAATTACGTAATTATCAACGACCACAACAGTAGCAAGGATATAGAATTCGATAAGGTGGATTGTTCACTTGACAAATACGAAGGGAATGAAACAAAATAAAAACAGCTAGTAAAATGCACAATACGGGTATGTAAAAGTGAGAATAGTGAATAACATTCAGTAAAATCAGAAGAAAGCAAGTAGAAAGCAGTTTAGGGGAAAATAGTAGAATAAGACACTGAAGGACAGAGTTTCTTGTACACAGATTTCGAGGTTATATACACGAATCAAACTGTATCTGTCACATATACCGAGAAAATGCGAACCGTGAATCACCCAAATAACAACAATATAAATTCATAACAAAACATGGCATAAACCTACTCAATTATAGTTGAATTCTGTGATAATGAATGTAAGATTTCAAAGGCTTTTAAATTATCCAAATGACGCATACTATGACCATTCATACTTGTCACATAATCATTTGTAACTAGGAGTTGGTCACGAGCAACAGCACCACCACCCAGTACCTGTAAAACCCGACAACCATCTTGACCTTGACAGGCCAAAGCATCCAGTTTTAAGCCTACAAACAAAAAATTATTATGAAAATGAATGCTATTATTCTTATTCTAGTCTACAGTTTTTAAAACTGTAGACTAGAATAAGAATAAAATGGCTGAAAAGTATGCAGTAGTGATAAGCCAATAGATGATCATGATCAAAGCAATATAATAAGGATGATGTCATATATAACACCATTCCGTCAGCTAACAGGATATCTTACCTTGAATGGTTTCTCTCATAAAGTTCAGCTGATTAGTCAAATACATGAGGGTTGGGTAATACTACAGTATATGAACGGGAAATTCTGATACTGAACCATAAACAATAAAAACACATAGTACCAAAGAAAATTCTCTTTTCGATGAGTCATTTTCAAAAGCAATCGCACAATCGTGTTTATCCTGATGATGGAATAATTAAGTAAAGACTAAACAAATGGAAGTCGAAATTATCTAAGAAGCATGAAAAGTTAGTTAATCAATTACAGCAGCTTTGATAAAACCTTGCTTTAATTTACTCAGAAGTTAGAAAATCCTCAACTTTCAGAAAACCTCCAGTGTATACATTTTGCTTCTTGAAAGCAACAACAAGCATTTGTTATGATTCAAAATCCATCAAGGATATGTCTATTAGCCTATAATCATGACCAATTAAACAGTGGGCGTTATTTTACGGTTTGAGAGGTCGGGCGAACTTCATTAGTTTCAGGACCACCCTGGCATCTAAATTAAATTGAACTGGTTGTTCGAGAATTTTGTCCAACGTAGAAGAATCTAACAACCCCGTCACCAGAAATGTTACATCACTACTTTTACATTTCGAAATAACATTGAGACGACATAGGGACACCGAATTGGACACAGACACTAGAAGAGATACACAACTTTACAGTAAGCTATGGTAGCTCGTGCGAACTCACTGACCAATATCAGTGTTAAGTCATGATTTCGAGTAATTATACCCCCCTATCACGGTCTCAGTACCTAATGTTTTCAAACTTTCTTCGCATGACCACTCTGAAGCCTTTTAACAGTGAGCATCCAGGTATTGCACGGATGAGGTCGCCAGAAGTTATACATACTGGATTTCGTTAAAAAGTATTATGGGTGCCAAGCTGTAGTCGAAAATCCACCCGGTAAGCCACCGTGAGCATGAGTCAAAAAATCATCATGGATATGTCCATTAGTCTATAATCACAATTAATAAAACAGCGGGCGTTATTTTACATAGGCCAATTCTGACTGGATTATTTCCAGACTGGATATTGATCACTATAGTTTTACACAAAGAGAATTTCATAACCAATTATGTCATCAACTCTTTCGGGTAAAAATGATCTAGACAGCAACACTGTCTACTAACATTTAACAGTTAACACAATTGAGATGACATGTTGACGATGAAAACTACGATGTCTATATCGATGAGCTCAGTGCTGTTTTCCAAGGTGTGATATATTCAGTTGAACATCTGGCCACGGGGTGTTATTGTGACGCCTACTCGTAATTAAAAATGCCTCGGTAAATTTTAAAAAATTGAAACAGGAATTTGAAAGCTTATGAAATTTTTCAACATTGATTCAAACATATCATGATCCATCATACACATAACAGCAACCATCGAATAACGACATAACAATGAATGAAAAAATGACAAATACCGAGGTGTATGACATAACTATACCTCCTCGAAAAGCAAGCACCATCCCAGTAAAGCTGAGAAATAGTATTTAGAAACTCAAGAATTTGCATAACACATCTGCATGTGAACAAAACATTATTAGCGACGCTAAAAGTACATCAATAAACACTAAAAGAGAAATTTCAACTAACCAATAGGTAAAGATCCACGTTCCAAACTCTTAGATACTTCTAAACTTGGATCGACTGGAGTAACATGTTGTAAATCAGGAGCATGCAGTTCTGGATTTGGACAAAGCAATGGTAATGTATAAAAATCTAAAGCCTAAATAAGAGGAAGAACAACAACAGGAAAGTGATAAGGAAAATAAAGTAGCAGGTCAACGGATAAAAACAAAATGAGGTAAAAGTACCAGATTGCCACAAACGGAACAAAACTAATCAAAATACGGCCCAATCTCTTTTTAGATACGTTTAATCGTTAAAACCCCCAGTGATACTATATTAATAACTAGAGTTGTTTCGAGGAGAATCTATTGCCCAGTTTCTTATAAATGAAACGAATCCATTATGGGTAAATTTTGTTTTGATAAAGTCTCACAGTGTTATACAGTAATGTTTACTGATGACGTTTCGAGCACAATTTATTGCTCATAATCATTGATATGAAACGAATCCAGTTATAAATACTGAATTACTGTGTGGTATAGTAAATAAGCCTATCTAATATGAAATTAACATCGATGATTCAGTGGTAGAATCCTCGCCGACCATGCAAATGGTTCGCGTTCGACTACTGGATAACATATACCTAAACCTGGCTTGTAAGTCCAGTAAAAAGAGTAGGTTGAGTTAAACTACCGACCCCGCTCCCCCAGAAGATTACCACTGCTACTGAACCTTCAAACCTCAAATCTGTAGTCCTTTGTTCCTTTCACGATGTACAGAAATGAAAAACTATGGAATAAGATTCTACTAGTGCCCGAATTCTACCATGACACGACTTAATTTAGTTACAAATTAATTCGATTTCTTGTACGTTACCTTCATACATCACGGAGAAAGTGATATGACGGAAAAGAAAACCTCAGAAGGCCATAAAAGTAACAAGACATTTCAAATGCTTATTAAAGTAAAAAGAAACTATAAATGCTATTAGACAGTTGGAGGCAATCGGCAGGAGCCCTTGGACATAGGTTTCGTGCTAGTTGGCACTCACCAGTCAGCAAGGCGTATCTGCAACTTTGAAGGAACTCATGTCGCTTCTGAGATTCGAACCCGCGTCACCCAGTGCTGCAGTCAAAGACGTTACCCCTGAGCTATTCGGGCTCGTGACTGACCTCCTGTAGGACTGTAGTGGGTAGTTTGATTGGACACAAGTAACTAGTGTGACGTATCTAGTCCTTTCTTTGGTGCAGACTGAATAGGTTTGCAATGTGGCCACCATTCTAGGTAGCTCGCCATCACAGTGCACATTGATTTGATGATATTAGATAGTTGGAGGCAATCGACAGGAAGTCTATAAATGCACCTGCATCATAAAACTAACGTCTTCTGAACTTTTCAATCCAGGATCACTAAGTATTGATTTCGTATGCACCGATAATCCGAGATAGGGAGTCTGTGCTGTATGCTTTCATGAATAAAAATCAGGTTTCTTTGCACATAATCCTTTCCAAGATGACACAATTAGACTTCTGACTGGAGTTATTATATATGTCAAGTTAAGACAATATAAATTCTAGTTTACTCATAACCCTGTCTGTCTGAATGGTTTGACAGCTTATCTTGATACTGTATTAACTGGCGATTATAAACTGACAATGGGTACACGTATATATTCCTATGACACGCACCCTGGTAATATAGTGGTTCACATATGGTGACTGAAAATAAGAAAATTGCTAAGGATGTAGCAAAAAATCTTCGAGTTGAAATCTAGCGTAATCATTAGACTGGTTACAAGCTAGATAACAAACTGAAATCATTTAGGGTGTTGGATGACTATTTTTGTCCTATTTTGGTACTCTTTAGCAGAATAAACATGTAATTGCACAGTGGATCAAACGCAGAGCCTTCATGTGATCAAGTAGAGCCGTTAACTTTTGCCAATAAACGAGAAACTGAACTACGACCATCCAATGTCATAAGTGAGTGTTTTTCCTCACACTCAAATTGATGCAGCACAGCAGTCATGACTTCTCATTAAAATATCATTCTGTAATAAGTCCATAGTTAAAATCAACAACCAACAGCACTTGTTTATTTAAAGACACACAACTAAACGCATTGGATAATTATAAAAGCAGTTATAAACATTATACTAATGCTAAACCTAACAGATTCATTAAGGTTGCCTAGTACTCTTATTTTGAGGGGTTATATCAAGCCCGATGAACTGATTGCTGATGTGATCTCAGGATAAATTCTTAAAAAGACAAGTTGTAACGGTTTCGACTAAAGTATCATCATATTTAGCTTCCTATCGAATGGCATATGCGCAGCAGAGTAACCTGTCACGGCCTACCATCCCCTCACAATTGTTAAAAGATACAAAGAATTTTGATGTTGCGTCTTATGTTTACTGCCTTGCCTTCAACAGAGTAATATGACAAGTAATAGTACGACTAAATCAAATATTAGTCAAGACAGACACGCAAAAATACACGTAACATAACAACATAATAGGGTTAACTATATAACGACTGTATCAGTGTCATTAAAAAAATCCCATTGGATTTGAGTAAACTGATGTTTGTACGAATGCGTTCTTTGATGTATTTGAATTAGCCTAGAAACAAGTCTGATACCATCGGCCTGAAAGAAGATGCTAAACTGACGACACAGACATGACAAAAACAGGGTCAGACTTAAAGGCTAGTCAATGCTGGCTACCTTCCTACCTGGCTAGCTAAGTAGCTACATCAAAACCACATGAAAGCTAGTCAAGAAATGACAGTTAGTTATTCATTTTGATCAGTCGAAGAGATGGCAGCAGAATTCATTCACTATGTAGACCTTAGGCGTCTGTGTATGTATAGGCTATAATACTTATGTAGCCTGACAACAGCTAGTAGTAGAAGAAGCAAGTAGTGATGACAATATCCAAGTTTTAACAGGATACTTAAAAATTCAGACTACATAAGACGACGACTGATTCCTCAGATCACCTACTAACTTCCAAAAGCACAAGAGAAAAACAGAAAATTCTGCAACTCAAGCACAGAAGTGTTTATATTCACGAATAAAACATTACAACACCACTGTCACCATGATAATTCAACACATTAAACATAATAACGATTCAAATCCTGTGAGTGAGTGAGTGAGTGAGTGAGTGAGTGAGTGAGTGAGTGAGTGAGTGAGTGAGTGAGTGAGTGAGTGAGTGAGTGAGTGAGTGAGTGAGTGAGTGAGTGAGTGAGTGAGTGTATCTACTACTCATTTCAACGAACGCTTGTAAAAACTTGAATGTGATGTAAACTACTAATGATAAGACTTGAAATGACAATTGTTGTTGATAGTTTTGGAATATGTCCCCATTACGGCCAATAAGTTTTAATCCTATACCATATTCATGAACACAAATAAGTGAAGTTAAGACACAGAGAGTGAGTCTCCGGAGTGGTTGTAACAATTACAACAGGGATATCGACTGAAAGACGGATAATGCGTGTTTAAAGTATAGTCTATACACAAACACACACTAACTTTACTTACTAATAGAAGTGTACAATTAAAGTAAGAATTGTGTCTGGTTCTATGTATAACTAAATAAAAACTGGTGCCTGAAATGTTTATTGTAGTAGCGTTGTTTATTCAAATAAACAAAATATACGAAAACGAGGATTAGCATATGTGAACAAACAAAACCAACTTGCTTAAATCATTATCGAACAGAGCTGAGGACATGTACAGATATACACTAGGCACAAACTGATACATCAGTTACAGAAGCATTGAAAACACCCTGGAAGTACTGGACTATTATTTCGTCCTAACTCGAGAAACCTCAATGGTAAGTATCTATCACCACAACCACCACAAAATCAAACCCTGACTAACTGCTTTCAAAATAGAACTTTACACAGATATGCAATAGTTCTAGTTGCCACTGTCAATACAGCACATAAAGCAAGAGAAAAGAGTACAGAAAGGTTAAAAATAGAGATAATGAACAAAAGTGTGAGGGGAAAAAATAGTAATATGGAAGAGCAATGACTTCGTAAATAAAACATTCAGTCTGAAGAACACAGCTACATCAAAACCATCCACCTGAGCTACATATCGTCTCCATTACACAAGAGTTTTATTGGATACAACAAATCATTAACGTTAAATGCAAATGCGCCAGCCATTCAGAACGATTTTGAGCCATATCACCAATAGTCTCCAGCCTTTATTGCTGTTTACCATTCCATTGAACCCAACCAGTAAGGATGTCTATACCTACCTCCTTGGCTTAAACCAACTGTCGTGGATTTCATTGACCGATGAGGTTATTTTTCCGTTTGACCACCACTAGCTCTTTTCCAACCTGACCCTATATCAGCTAACATTGCCCGTCGAGGAAGACTATGGCTAGACAGGCATGTGTAACACATATCCTAACCATCCCAGCCAACATAACTTCACAACCCCACCAATTGATTTCCTCTCCTTACCTAGCATTCGACGCCTAACCTCAATATTGCTCATCTTATCATACCACCACTTAACACGGGAGATAGAACGCAGGCATCTGTGGTCAAAAACAGCTAGCCAAGCTTTTCAAGTCTTCCACGCTTAATAGCCATGTCTCACTACCATGAAGGAGGTCAGAGCGGACTGCTGAGAAGTATACACGCCTTCTGGTCGACAGCCAGTCGGATATGACGTTTACGAAGCTAGAGATGGCTTAAGTTGGCATATGCCGAACGAGCCTCCTGTGTCTGCGCTGAAGTATTATCAGCGATCAACCCATGGGCACCGACTGCTACAAATTCCACAATAAGTGAAGGGGTCAACACACTCTATCACTTCACTCCTTATCTTTAAGGTAGGAGTTATTCGATGTAGTTCAGTCCTGTAGTATCATCTTACATTCGACAGGAGAAGATCGCACGCCAAACACTAGACGATTTCTGCTCAAGGTGTTCAGAAGACTGCATTTTGTCAGCATCTTCACCTAGGAGGATTATATCATCTGCATATTCTAAGTGAGCGAAATTATTCTCTGATAACAAGTTAATTCCTGAGTTGCTGAAGTCAGTTAGGGTTAAGTTCATTAGTATATCTATGATGAGGCTAAACATAAATGGGGACAGTGGGAATTCCTGATGGACATCACAGGTTGTCACCACTTCAGATAACAACTCTATGTAGGCTCTCAACTGGCCTGAGTACCTCTCGGTCGACGGAATCAAATTCCGCTTTCAGGTTAAGAAATGTGACAATTTTTAGACGCCGGTAAGTATGCCTATGTTCCAGAATATCTCGAAGGGTGGAGATATGATTAATGCACGCTCTTCCTGGTCTAAAGCCTGTCTGGCTCTCTCATGTTTGTGCCTCCCGAGCACCACTTAGTCTACGTAATATTATTGAGCTTAGGACTTTAGATACTATATTAATCAAGCTAATCCCTCTGTGATTATCACAGGAAGACTTGTCCCCCTTCTTGTATATGGGGATAATCAGTGACTTACACCAACCCGATGGGACTTCTTCTGATTCTCAGACCCTCAGTTAATGCAGACAGTAAGCTGTTACAACCGTATTTATATGCCTCTGGAGTCATTCCATCAGGTCCTGCTGCTTCGCCTCGTTTCAGAATACTGACAGCCTTAGTAACTTCAGTTAGGGAGGGAGGACCTGTGTCCATACCCCACTCACGGAGATGTTGGATGTTCGGTAAGTCGAGCGTGCCTGTTATTATATTAGTTTATCCTTTAATTCCTTGAGGAACATAAGGCTTCAGCCACACGTCTCCATTGCCTTCAGTTCTCTGCCAACTTTTCACCCCACTCCAAGCCTTCCCACAGGCTTTCATCTCCTCTTCACATGACCTCCTCCAAGTCACCCTTGCACTGACGACCAACTAGCCGCTTCCCTTTCGGGTTCCACTCGAGCAATCGCTTTTCTAGTGATGTCACTTGATGGTTTCCTCAGCGTATGACCAGCCAATCCATCTCCATTTCTTCCTACCTATTTGTTTCACAACCGGTTCCTGCTGGGTTGGTTCGCTCATTGCCAGAGATCTCTGTTGGTGATCTTTTCTGGTCGGCCATCTGATCTTGAGTGGTGTTGAGCGAAGACAACTGTTAATGAAGGTCTGAAGTTTGTTTGAGATGCTCCTTATGACTCGCCAGGTCTCTGTTCCGTATGCAGAGAAGCACTGACTTCACATTGGAGTTGAAAATCCGGATCTTGTTTTTGATGCTGAGTGCTGTTGACTTCCACACAGACTTCAGAGTAATGGAAGCCTGCCTTGCTTTTCCGATTCTGGCTTTGATATCCTCGTCAGTTCCACCTGTAGTTGAAACGATGCTTCTCAGGTCAGCGGGTGAAGGAGGTTGTTTCTTTCAGATTCCTCCCATTTATGCTGACTGTAGCCTGTTGTTGTTGGCCAGGAATCTTCACCACCTCTGTTTTCTTTATGTTCACTTGAACTCCTTCCTATCTTTGATGCTTCTTCTGCCAACTTGTTGCTTTTCATCACTTGCATATCTTCCAGTTTGTGGGAAATCAGACATATATCGTCGGCGAAGTCAAGATCCTCCAAGTTTTTTGTGTCAGTCCATTTTATGCCTGTTTCCTCATTGCCCGCCGCTGTCTGTCGCATTATCCAGTCTACTGCAATCAGGAAGATCATTGGCGATAGTAGACAGCCTTGCCTCACTCCCGTCCTCATTTCGAAGGCTTCCGTAAGTTTCCCGTTGTGGATTACTTGGCATGCAGCATTGTCGTATAACTGTTGGATGAGTTGTATAATTGTCGATGGGACCCCGTAGTAGCGAAGTAGTTTCCAAATCACCTCTCGATCGACGCCATCTGTCGAAGGCCTTTTCAAAGTCGATGAAGTTGAGTGAGGTGGAGAGGCGACTGCCATTGCAAGCTTTCTTCAATGATGATCCGTAGAATGGCGATTTGATCAATACATGACTTGTTTCTCCTGAATCCAGCCTGTTCCGGACGAAGTTTTTCATCTAGGGCTTGTTTGATTCTCTCCAGGATGATGCGGCCTAGTATTTTGCTTGGGATGAACAGGAGCATAATTCCGCGCCAGCTTTTGCATTGACTGAAGTCTCCTTTCTTTGGTAGTTTGAATAAGTATACTTCCTTCCAATTCTCGGGTACTTCGCCCTCTATCCACACTTTCTCTAGCAATGGCGTCATCAAGTCCGCTGTTGTCTCTGGTTCCATTTTCAATGCTTCTGCTGGCATTCTATCTGGTCCTGTTGCTTTTCCAGCTTTTAGCATCTTGATTGCATTCAGGACTTCTGATTTCGTCGGGGGGTCGATGTTCACTGGTAGTTCTGCTTATGTGAAACGATAGAGGGAGAATCAACTACTAATAAAGACTTATCTCACTTTCTTGTATGATAAGACCTGAAAGAAAAATGAAATGTGTAAAAGATAAATATCTCTACATAACATTTTCTGCCGTTTTACTTCTTCATCTATAACAGAGGAAAAGAAAAAAGTACAAATATAAACATAAAGGTCAATTAGGAATTTGTAAGCTTTTATCGGACCTACAAAATAATAATAATTATTATTCTAATGCAATCAGAGTTCAAGCAGAAAGAGAAAAGTACATTCGAACCAAGCAGCAAGGTTATCCAAACACATACGCCTGCACTAAAAAACGGACAAACACAGATATGTTTAGAAACAAGGAACGAAAACAAAGGTACTAAAAGAAACTAAAACCAAGAAACTAACATGGTAGAATAATACAAAGGGCAAAAAAAGCTTAAGGTAAATGGAAAAGCCGAGAAGAGAAAACTAAAATTCAAAAGAAAAATATGACAACACGTTGATTTATAAAATGAATGAAAGTAGAAAGTAGGTTAAACCATTGAATCGCGAGAGACAGATATCATTTGCCACACAACTGATATGGAAGAAGGAAGTATTGAAAATAAGAAAAAACTATGTATCTCATAGTGTAAGCGGCCTAGTGGATATCGCTTTGACGTTTGAAACAATGGGTACTGGGTCCGAGTCTCAGTAGGAACACCATCACTCACTGAAGACTGCTGGTACATTCAGCCGACTTGTCGCAAAGTGGAACGGAATGCGCATCTTGGATTCCAATACTAGCCACCAACCTCCAAATAGGAACTATGATTTAGTTTTAAATTAGTCAATCGACAATGTGACTTAAACTGTGATAGACATAAACATTTCAGTCTGAGAAACTAGACCACAGTGGCATAGCTACAAGGTGCTTCTGTTTAGTATGTGAAAGTGTAAACTCGTAAGTGTTGTTTTACTTGGCAATCAGCTTGCTTACATACAACGAACACACACCCAAATACGCACAAAAGTGTGTTCAATTACTGATTAGTGCATTTAGACATTTAGAAAATAAACATTGAGATAAAAACACATGACAAAAATATAAACAAAGCACTCTAAGAACAAACAGAACTGCAAGCTATAATATACAAAATAAAATATGTATAAATGACAGCATATAGATCCAAACACCGAGAATAACAGATCGAAAGAGTGAAGATTATAGTAGCGTACACACGGCTCCCCGTCACACTTTCAAATATAAGGGAGCACTTTTTCATTCCTTTACGTTGTTTTTACTATCATCGGAACATAGGGTTTCGAAGCTCTGAAATTTCAGCAGTAGTGGGGATGATTTTACAGAGAAAAGTTGCTAGCTTCACTTTCAAATATCCCTGCTTTCCAGGCGGTCTAACTACTAGTTAGTAAACAAGGTGAGGTTTGAGTGATGTCAACCGGAAATCGAATTCGGACTTCCCGTGTGGCTGGCAAGCCGTCCTACTATTGAATCACCAATGCACCTATCTTTTATGAAGTATATTTTTTCCAATCTTGATTTTTTCCTATTTGGAAACATAAAAGGATCGATTACTATTTAGCTTACTTAACAGGAAAAAGAAAGGGAAAATGCATAAAAATGTTTGTTGTGATCCCATGGTAAACTAACACTACTAAACGATTACCCTTCGTTAAACCTAAAGAGTGCCACACAACCTTTGTTGATAATTTGTAAGAAACAAGGTGAGAGTTTTAAGTGCAGCAATGAAAAACCGGTTATTAATATGTCATAGACAGATTGTTGCATGCATGTAGGTGCACAATACACATATCTGTCTAGACACGATTACCCACAAAACAATAAACAAAATAGACAAAAACAACTGATGGATATTTACATTCAAAGTAAAATAAGAGAAAAAGCAATAAACAGCTTGTTAATACTCCAAATGGAAAATAGAATACTTACCAAGTCTTCGATACCAGTAACAACATTGAAACCATCCTAGAATAACACAAAGATATATGCAAGCTGTGATGCAGTCCTAATACTTTTCATCAGACAACGTGAAACAAAAGAGTTCTCTTCAGGAATAAAATAAAAATATGCCGTTCTCATGCATTAAAAAAATACCAATAACAAGGGAGGGGTATACAAATAAACACGTGAAATCAAAATCCGATAGAGAAACAACCAATTACAGATACCGGTTTCATCATTATTATACAATCACTGAGCCAATGTGCCAATTGCTCTATACCAGTTCGTATAATGTGAAGTTAAGCATACCGACAAGAGAGTAGTCAGATTTTTGTGAATTACCACCACAGATAGTCAGTTAGGGAAAAATCATTCTTAACTAATTCAGTAGGAAAAATGTAGTCTCACATTCTTCGAAAATTGATATATACACAAGATTACCTGAGAAGTGACAAAACTCAAACAGAGATAAGCAACAACAACAACAATCGATGGAGCTTAGTTTAAACTTGACATTTTTGTTAGTAGTACATAATAGTACATAAAGATATAAAGTTGCTCACAAAAATAAAATACTTACATGCAAAAAACGCACATACTTATTATTATTATTTGCACTGAAGTGAACTGACAGTAGTTGAATAATGAGTACCTTTCCTTATACACACACACGCACACAAATGCAAATCGTTGTGAAAACGCCCTTGAAACTTACGCATTTTTATATGAAATTTGCATAAATTTATAAATATATTTTGCCTATCTTTAGGCGCAAACTCTTTTTATGATAAGAAAAAGAAAAGACATTTTACAAATGCGCCTCCCTTGCATTTTACACTCATACGAATTAATCGTATGGTCAACAATGATACTTTATCTGTTGGTAGAAACCTCTGTGGTAAGACTGAATCTGTGTTGAAGTCACTTATTTGTGTACATGTTTTGATAAGAAATGCTAATGATGACAGAATAGCATTTTCCATTTGTGTATAGATATGTTTGAAATCTTTTTTTATAAAAAAAGCCATGATGAATACACTGCAACTCGACTAACTGACTGACACTGCCTAAAAATGTAATTTATTCTCTAAAATCTATTACTCTATTAAAAAACAACATTCGCTAACTTAAAAACTGATGTTAATAATAATCCCTTATCTACACAACACTATAAAACAGATTGGTTTAAATGTAAGCGAAGTGCGTGAATGAGTAGACTATTTTTAATGTGAATACTGTTCTAATTATTTTTAAAAAAAATGAAATTCTTAAGCATTTGTTAAGAAGACAGAGGGAAACTGAAGATTACACTCCATACGACAGACCGTCATTTTGATCTGCGTAACCAATTTCTAAGCAGTGAGTTAGAGAATTGACTTCCACTTCTTACAAAGTGTTTAGACGTTGCCTAGTTTACTAAGCGGTCCAATCGCAGAAAAAAGGGAAGGTGGGATAAGTAACCACACGCCAAAGAAAAACAACTCTATCCCAAGTAAAACTTCAGATCACATAAAAATGAAACTTATTCTCCATTGGAATCATGTAGAGTTCTAAATTGGAGACAGGAAAGCACTCGTAGGTGGAATAGCCTTCGGGAAAACAGTCAGCTGATGTATCTTCTTTCCACAAAAGGAAAGATAAGCTTTGGGAAATAGGATGCCCGCATCACGTTTGAAGTTGGTTGTCAGGGCTGATCTGACTGCAGTAGGAATGATAAGGCATGGTATAAAAGTGTTAACAATCTCTAAGAGGAGATAAAATGGAGGTGGAGACTCTGAAAATTATCAATTTAAGAGTTTGTATAATGCGATGTTTCAGACAGACAAGTTAGATCAATAATGATAGCTGTGATGAATTTTCTTATCACACGCAACTTGGAGACAATTACACGCTTTACGAGCAAACTATAAATTGGATTTTCACCGAGTGGATCCCCTAGGTTTGAATTCTATTAAAATTACTTCAGACTGGGTAGAATCGATCAGCCCACACAGGATGAGTTCAGTTAACAGGGTGCTACATGAGAAATCTCTTCCATGAAAAGTGGATTCCTACATATATATCCTCAACATCTAACTGCAAACAATTGACAGGATGCTAACAAAGTCAAATGGATTGCCTTAGTTTTCTCCGTTTCTCCCTGTGCACATTATACTGTTTTTCACTCCATCTCCAATTTCATGAAAGGATCATTCTGGTGTGTTTGAATTGTTTCATGAAACACTGTTTTTAGAGTGTCACTCAATGTAATGAAATCGCTTGATTACTATAAGGATTAGAACAGAAGAGTGCCCAACTAGGACAAAACAGTTGTCCAGTACTCCCAGGTTTTCCAATGGTCATCTGACCAATGTTAATTCATGATGAAATCCTGAAAATAATCAAATCCCTGCAAACCAACACTTAAATAGGAAATTCTTTTTTTAGAGAAAGTTAGAAATCACGATAATATTAATAATAATAATAATAATCACATTTGTCCTGGAGATCATACAATTACTACCACGATGACGACAACTTCTAAGCCAACTAAATAGCAATGCAACAAATAATTTGAAACTCGAACATACGGTAATCTCACTGCTGTAGCTTTTGGTGGTACTGTTTGACTGTAAAACGTCTCACAACCTGAGACTTAAAAACCAAAATATAAAATCATGGGATCGCGGGATATAAAATATGATAGTAGAACATGCTGAAATAGAGAGAATTTATCAACACCTAGATCATCTACGCATACGCATATACTGCTATTTCGGTATGTTTTCTTTTTAACTAAAATAAACACTACGAGTAAACAGATTACACGTAAACTCAGTCTTCAACTACAACAGTAATAACGACAACAAATGAGGAGGATAAAAGGTTTCATAACAAGGTCACATCACTTCAAGATACAAATTTTTCAGATGTTGATGCCATGCAATATGTGCTAAACGACATAAGTACAGACAACATAACTACAGTACTACTGGTAAACAGAGCATAAACAAAAACGCATGAAGACTTAGGAATTCTATCTAATATTATACAAAAATGTTGGTAATTTAAGTGTATTATTATGAATTCCTTCAGTGTAGTATACATGTAAAATAGTCATAAAAGGAACCGAACACTAATCAAGTATGCTTGCTGTTAACGCAAACAGCTATTGAGTAGGTTAGGTGAACACGCCTAAAATGAATATAAAAACCCCAAGTTTAGAATTCGTCGCTGGCTCTCTATCTACATATTTATCTATCTATCTGTCTATGAGAGAGATAAAAGGACTAAATGGAATCCGAAATAAATTAAGAATTTTTAGAACAGGTCGTAAGATAGTCTTCCCTTACAAAAATGATAAATGGTGACTACAAATCACCGTTTCCTGACCAACTAGCCCGTTCCCAAGAATCAGTCATCACCGAAATACACAAACAGCAGAATTCCGAATCAAAGACTACGTGAATATATCATTTCTTATTGCAAAAATTACCCGAGTGTCACCTAAATCTATGGTGCTTTCATCCGACCCCAAATCATCTTACAAAACACGAAAAGAATTTACTTTAAATAAGGTATTCATCAAATAGAATTCTTATCACTAATACTACTACTATTACTACTACCTTGATACCAACTTTGGCATAATTCTTATTCACTGGGAAGTTTCGGTGAAATCCATCACAACTGTTATCATCTTGCCGTCGATGAAGAGAAGATACTGTGGATGAATAAAATAATTCATTGAAAGAATTTGTAAAGGATGCCTTGTCATTTTCCATAGGTTCAGTGGATGAATGGCTATGTACATGCAAAGGTGGTTCAGTTAATTTAGAGTAATTATGACGATGACAATCAACACGATCCGATTCAATAGATGAAGACATCACTTTTGGATGAATATAAGAGGATAAAGATATTGTCGAATTTGTAGATAAATCACACTCTGTATTGAGATCCTCTTCAACATCATCCTCATCGTTGGATGAGGCAGTAGCGGCGACGTCATCATCATTAGAATCATCTTTGTCACCGTCATTACGACAACTATCTGCGATAGTAATAGTAGAAGAACACAGACCAGATTCCTGATTCTCAATGCTGTGACGTGGGCATTCAGATTGGTGCATTCCAGAAGATATTGACACTGCACTATTATTATTAGTATTCACTTCTAAGAGTTTTAAAGCCTTCAATATCGACTGACTTACTAGTTTATAGGCTAAATACTGTGTGCTATTATTTGTATTAGTGTTATTCGTAGTAGTTGTAGTAGTAGTTGAAGTAGCGGATGTGCGATCACTGCATTTAGAAATTAAAGATGATATAGAAGTAGCGGAATTACTACTATGAAGAACAACGCCATCACTACATATCCTGTTATCATTAGCAGCATTTGAACAAGACGCAACAAAACCAGAACTTATTGACTGTGTTGTTGTCCAAGTGGCTGTGGTTCCTGTCCCTATTAACGATGATGATGATGATGATGAAAAGAAGGGTTGAGATACTGACGGTTCTGGTCCCTCTAACGGGATGTGCGGACTAACATCAGAATTCAGTTGTACATTCGGATCGAATATTTCATTTAGCAAATGTCTCATTGCTTCATTGACAATCTCATGGACAAAGTGAAGTGCTAATTGACTGACAGTGTTATTTAGTGAGGATTTGTCAACAGGTGAAAAAAAACATTGTTGTTTACGCTCAGACAAATTGCTACAGCCTGGATGTTGGTGATCGTGATGTTGAATACTATTCATCAGTAAAGAATTATTCAATTCTTCAACACAGCTGTAACTTTTACACTTGTAGTGTAGACCTGGAAGGTTATCACTTGTTAGTGAAGAAGAAGAAGAAGCATCCATATGATTTGGTGTCGGTGATCGAGGTCGAGAATATCCTTGTAGAGGTTCTTCTTCTCGTTGCAATTTGTGTCCTGGTGACCTCGGATGTGTATTTCTGCACACTGTTGTATCACTGAAAATAATTCTATCATCATTCAATTTAGCTGTATACAAATGTAGAGGTGTGTGTAAGCAAGGATATGAATGGACAGCTAAACTGAAAAAACTACGCTTATTTTCGGCACTAAAGTCTAGATAAGGCAATAACGGGTGTATACCATGCAGAGACTACGGGAAAAAGACCAAATAGGATGAACAATATGTACACATATACGTGCATGAGTTTGTTTTGTGTATAGAACATAGTTATATATGCATTCCCAAACAACAGTTATTACCATTCACAAAATATAAAATATACAAGCAAGAACGAGAACAGAACAAAAATCATAACCCGCAAAACACAGTTTGGTTATTTTCCGCCGTAGACATTAATATCCATGGTTGAAGTGGGAAGTTCAAGAAATACGAAAAAAAGAAATAATCAGTAGTTTGCCAATAATATATATATATATATATATATATATATATATATATAGGCATGTTAACAAGCGACAGCTGAAAGTATCAAATAAATTTTAAAAGGTCAAAAGTCATATAATTATGATGTTGATGACGCTGCTACTGTTGACAAAGAAAATTTAACCAACTGATCACATATTCCCATTTCACAGAATATTCCCTAGGATTGATGGGACACTCACGAAACAATACATGATTATTTTGTCAAACCAAATTCACTTTTAAATGTTCGAAAAAAATTTGGGCATTGTGTACATGATATTCATGACAATAGAGCTTTTCTTGTATTTCCCGATGAACGAAAACTAAAACGATATCGTTTTTACTGACGTTTCGCTAGTTAATGCTGCTAATAGCTTTGTCAAAGTGTTATTGAACCAAAGCTTACAAAATCTCAGCTTATATATAACAACTCAATCATCGTTCCTCAGCAAGGAGTCATTTTCGCGTTTTCCAGTTGGCCAATTGGTAAAGATAACAAAACCAGGTGTAAATTGTTGGATTTGATAAGTGTATGAAATTATAAAAGCGGTGTGTGTTTACATAATGAAACTGCTTATCACATTCGTGTTGATTTTGTCATTCCATAGGGGAGGGCGGGGTGTTATAACCAAGTCAAATTCTGTTTAGTCCATCATTCCTATTCAGATAGTTTGGATTCCACTTGATATGAAGTGCGTCTGATTATTAGACGTTCTTCGTGATTTCTGAAATTTTCCTGAATTATTTCAATATTGTCAAAATCAATTTTGTGACCTGATTCTATAGCGTGTAGATCTATGGCCAATGATTTTTCAAGCGTTTCTAGTTCAACTGGATTTCTCAGTGGTCGAACAGATGCTGTAAGGTGTTCATTTCTTCTGCTTATGATTGGCAGACCACCTATCACAAATACTTCTCAGACTCTTGTCAGCGCCTGTGGTGGGCGGCTCAAACTAATTGGTGAACTCAAATGTTCTGTTTCCTTCCACAATACCAAATTCACAGGAATTCGTTACGTCACCAAGAGTGATTTAAATCTTTTGGGACTTGATTGGTTCGATCGTTTGCATCTGGCTGATGTCCCATTAAATTCTCTATGGAATGCAGCCAAGAAACATAAAATGTCAGAAAATTCCGGACGAAGCCGAAGCCGCAAACCCAAGAGGCAGACGAAGCGACAGACGTCAACAGCAAGCTCAACGGTTCCATATAAACCCCCAAGAAAACACGCTACTAATCATCAATCTTCTCAAAAGGGGAGGTGATATGTATCCACATGATGTGTGTTTTGTTTTGACAGTCTATTATATTTTGCTATGGGTATATGGATCGGTATTCCATCATAACTGACAATATGCTTTTGTCTGTCCACTAAGTAAATAAACATGTATGACCTTGTTGTCACATGACACTACAACCAATCATGTTAAGACTGGCTATTTATTGGTTCATGTGTATTAACCATTTTCATATATACTTTTGTATTAGACCCTTGTTCATTCTTGTTCACACACGTTTCGTACATACGTACCAATTCACTCACACACTAGTGTGACATTTATTTTCCTTGTCTGGAAAATACAAGTATTATCGTAAACCTGGTGGTCTTCTGATTTCCCTATTTCCGCGTCAGGACTATTAACTACTCGATGAGTACTTAACATGAGGCCCATGTCATCGGAATACGTTTTTCAGCATACTTAATGTTAGTGTTGATTTTGTTGGTGAAGTTCTTTGGGTAGTTATTTTGCTTGAGAGTCGCAGTAATTTTTGATATTTCTTCTTCATTTTCCTTCTCATCCGTTATCAAAGAGTGTGGTTGTCTAAGAAGACTTGAAACAACTGATATCTTTGCGCTGATTATCCGATGTCTAAATGTTTGTTGGAGTGGGTTTTCTTCCTGAATATAGATATATTAAAATATCCGTTTTCCCTTCTCTGAACTAGCTAGTCTAGAAATGGTAGTTAACCGATGTCTGATTCTGCTTCCGAAGTAAATTGAATGCTGGGAGATAGACTGTTCAGTTTCTCCAAGAATGAACTGGGTAGATCTCGTTTTAGCAATACAAAAATGGCATCAACGTGTCCTAAACATATTTTAGGAGTAAATATGCTGGAAAAGATGTTATCTTCGAATCAACTCATGAAAAGATCAACGACTATCGGGGAGACCGGTGAACCCATAGCAACACCATTTGTCTGTTTATATATTTTTTTATTTTGATTACAGCTTGAAACCACACAGTATTTTTGGTGCAAATATGGAATTTTCAGCATGTGATATCAGTAGCCCAATTTTGCAGGCTGATGATTGATATCGGGTGTGCGTCGGCAGGGGATCGAACCCCGGACCATGTGAATGGTCGACGAGAGTCCTAAACTCTGTGCCACCGACGCAGAATTTTAATCTCTTAATTAATTCACTGGTGCCCAGTGACCACCTCTGTGATGGCGGTGTATCTGATTCTACTAAACTGGAAATGACATCAAGACTTTCGGTAATAGGGATACTAGCTTACCATAATGCCTTCTTTATCAATTTCTCGTACTCTATTTGGGGTTTGAAATCATATGAATCTTTTACAACATTTTACAACATTTCAAATGTCCTTTTGATAAAGATATTAGCATTAAATAACAAAACGTCAGTAAAAACAATATTTGTTTTTCATTCATTGAGAAATACAAAAAAACCTTCATTATAATGAATACAATAAATGATTTGAAAAAGATTCAGTACAACTTAATTAAAATGTATACTTTGTCTTCTAGTAAAGAGTTGGCTAGCTATTTTTTTAGGGTGAACAGAGATCTGACGAAGTGACACTTTTCGGATTTATCATTGAACTACTTGCATTCTTTTTTCATTAATGTCTGGATGAAGATTATTCATCAATTTCACGAAGACACTGTTCAACGGTTTCATTTGCTTCCAATATACAAGAGAAACTACGTATAATCTTATTTCAGAAATAAGTTCAGCAATAACTAGATGCTTTCAGTCTCTATGATGATTCACTCACAAAATATTTTGACGTATCATGAGACCCCTTTTCTACAGTTATTTAATTATCGTCTTTTCCTTAATTTACCTTAGTTTTCTCAAGTCTTATCTGAGGCGTAACTTTGTCTTCCTGTCCACCAAAAACGACACGGTAAGGTCGAGGGTGGGTAGACTTCGGTCTCTCCCTCGAATTGTCCTCGTGTGGCAACGCTTCATAGACACTGAAAGGTAACTCCTATCCATTACCTAAAAGCAATAAGGGTGTTCTTTACAAAAGTGAAAGACCGAATGCGAATATGTAGCGCTTACAACAGGACTGGTGGACGTGTAGATCTACTTAGGGGAGCTGGAAAACATCTAGTGTATATGGGCTCCAGAATCCGAAAGGATCAAATGGTGTATTTATCTGTTTTCTTTACCAGGAACCATGGGAATGACGCAGCTCCCTACTTTGCTCCAGTAACACGTGGATCAGACTTCAAGCTAAATGCCCAGCGGTGGGAGATGGGGCTCGCCATTTACGACAACCGCCTGCTTTGATCTAGGCATCCGAGAATCATCCCGGCACTCGCACAAGTTGAAGTTTAGTGTGATGCAAGTTTTGGTGTCCATAATGTACGAACTTTTAGTCTTAAAAGTAATAATAAACTTATAAGTATAAAACTTGGGCACTGTGGTAGAGAATAACTCCACTATGGTTAAGATTTTATTTTGATAGATCACAGTGTTATACAGTAATATTAACTGATGACGTTTCGAGCACAAACTATTGCTCATAATCAAATCAAGTCACTCACACAACTTTTTGCTTCATTTGTATAAATAATCTTATCCATAATAATAAACTTAGTCTTCTTAAGACCATAGACGCTTACACACTATGATCGCTCCATGATACCCTTTGGCGCAGAATTCAACGTTGATAATACAGTTTTGTTTAGTTACAAATTCTCACTAATCTTGACAACTTCCGTTAAAAACTAACATTAGTTAGATAACTACTGAACACTATGGACAGCTGTAGAAAACTCATGGATAATCCCCATCCAGGCATTAATGAAAACAAAACACGTAGATCAGCGAAGAGTCTCTTTTTGGGGAATTCATTTTCTTAGCTGTACGATCGCAAATATGTATGTTATTTTGTAAGTGTGTGTACACTAAGTTTGTCTAACAAAATCACAGTTGGTTATAGTTATTCTAACTAAACAGGTGAAGATTGGTAACAAGATTGCTAACCTATCAAGAAATTGTTAATACAGAGTCAAGAATAACCTATCAAAGGCAATACGGTTTCGTCTTCTTTGTATCGCTGAAGCTCTGGTCATTCACATAGAAAAACCGGAGCTGTGCATACAAAAGAAGACTACTCAACCACTCCTACTGTCATGGTAACAACTTTTTTATTTGATTTGAGCTTTTTTTATTTTGATGACTTAATTTTGTTTCTTTGCCTGTTCTTTAATTGCTCATAATTCTTGTATTCATTTCGAACTCTTACGTAATTTCGTATTATCTACTTTGTTTCTATGTGCATGCTGAGCAAAACTCACTCATCAAACTATTCATATTATTACACAACTTCTTTTAACAACTGTTTAAGAAAACTCATCACCTTTGTTACTACCTAATTTCATTAGCACCTAAATTTCTTGACTTGTATTATCAATCTTCACCTGTTTTGTTAAAATAACCATAACCAACTGTTATTTTGTTTGACAAACTTAATGTACACATGCATACAAAGTAACACATTATTTGCGATTGTACAGCTGTAGAAAACACAGTCATCGGAAAGTATTTTTGCTTAATCACCCATTTTTACGAACACAACCTCCTTAATAAAGATTTTTTTATGCATTGAAAAATATCGGTTAAAGTGATATGAAAAACTCAGCAGAAGAACATCAGCCCAAATACACGAGATAGACTTGTGGGAAGCGATACCCAATTCACCGTAAGAGATGACGTCAAACAACTATTGCAGTTGTACGGCAATGAATCTCTCTGAATTCGATGGATCTCTTCGCATAACGCTATTGTACGATGATAGAACTGTGTTATTATAATAACGTCCTGAGAAAAACTCGAATGTACATACAACTCATTCGTCAATGACTGATACTCCAGTCTTTGAAGCATAGCACCGTAATTTCTAGAAACAATGTTACTACATTACATGATTATTTGAATACAAGAAACCATTTGCTATATGTATTCTACACTATTCCAACGGCAACAATGATGATATACACAAATTTAGAAAAGAATCAAACTGAAGCCACCCAGGGAAACATCCGGAAAAGAATTTCAAGTATTCGTTTCTAGCCTATGGCATCATATGATGAATAAAATACCACCCATTGTATTAAAATTGAGTGGAACCAAAGACTATTATTCATACACTGTTATTTCAAAACACATATTGTCGAAATTGCTAAAGCTTAATTTAAAAAAACAATGCACAGAATACCCATAAACAATCAGTACAAACTTAGGGCACCCTTCTTCGTCTTCGCAGAGGCCTTCGATAGAGTTGACCAAGAAGTAATTTAGAAACTGTTTCAACACTATCGCGTGCAGTGCCCAAGTCTTTATCAACCTCATTCAGCATTTGGCTATACGACAATGCATGTATCAGGTGATCCACAAGAGAAAAATACAGGTGAACATTGAGAAGGTGTAGACGGAGATGATGAAGATAACCAACGAGCCACAACAACAACTACAACCAGAACCAATCACCATCAAAGGGAGAGATTCAACAGAGGTTGCCTCCTTCACTTATTTGAAAAGCATCGTTTCAACTACAAACAGTCAAAACGGACGAAGATGTCAAGTCAGAATCGGAAGGGAAAGACACGCCTTCATCAACTTGAAACCAGTTTGGAAATCTTCCGCACTCAGCATAGGGAACAAGATCCGCATTTTCAACACCAATGTGAAGTCGGCTCTTTTATACAGGTCAGAAATTAGGCCTGTGTGTCACGAAAAGGATTTCCAACAGGTTGCAGACTTTTATCAACAGCTGCCTTCGCTGGCTCCTTACTGAAGATCAAATGGCCGGCCGGCCGGCCAGAAAGAATAAGCAACAAAAAACTATGGGAACAAACCAACGAAGAGCCGATCGCTCAACAGATATGTAAGAGAAAGTAGAGATGATCAGGCATACATTGAGGAGGCCGCCAAATGACATCGCACGCCAGGCCCTCGAGTGGAATCCAAACGGGAAGTGACGAGTGGGTCATCTAGGGTGACATGGAGGAGATCGTATGAGGAAGAGATGAGAGAGTTTGGTCAATCGTAGGCCCAGCTGAAGAGGATGGCAGAAAACATAACAAAGTGGAGGTGTTGTTGAAGCCCTATGTTTCACTCGGAACTCAAGGGAATAACAATAAGACAACAACCTACACATCCTTATCAGGTACAACAAGTGATGTAATTCACGGTAAAAACTGTAAAACCATCAGTATAAAACTTCACATAAGTACGGTAATATAAGCGGTAATAATTAAATTTAGAAAAAAATGTTCAGCATAGAAATTCGTTGACTCACCACAACGGTGCTATTATCATCATTGGCATTACCCGTATTCACACGCAATGGATAAGCGAAATTTGAGCAAGAATTAGATTTTTTTACTTCATTAACATCCGAGAATACACCGATTACAGATGGTCTAAACACACCAGTAGTAGATTGCAATTGATAGGGTGGTTCTTGTAGCGGGACATCTGTTTCATTAGGCTCCAGTTGCATTTTAGCAATACCAATTAAACATGGTCCGTTAGGCAATGATTTTAGTGTGTTAGCCGCTTCGCGTACACTCGATTTCATAAGATTTCTATCATTTACAAATAGTAAACGATCACCAATTGATATACGTCCGTCTAACTGAGCTACACCTCCTGGGGTTAGACTATCAATCAATAAAATACCATGTGTTTTTTTAGATCGACTAGACCATGTTGAACGTCTTTTCAGGTTGCTGGAAGATTTATAATTTCTATTTGGCGATGATGTCACACTTGAACGATAAGATCGGAATGAATGACGATCTGAATCCAGTGTACTTGAGGTGTTTTTACGATCCAAGGTATATGCTTTACGAGATGATGTCTTACCCTCCAAATCGGTTACAGGTAATTCCTAATGAATTAAAAATAATTATAATAAATTATTCTGTGTAAATAAAAGCATAAAACAATGAACTCTTCGAACGCATAGACAATACGTCCGAGTAACATATATTAAACTATTTACCACAACTTTATCGAAGTGACTTTTATGAACAGCAGACCAAAGCAACCCTCACGATAATAAAGTGATTTTAATACAAGCCTTTTGATGTTATCCGCAAATAACATGACAAATTCATGAAAAATTCCCATCCAGACATCATTGAAAATAAAACACGTAGTTCAGTGAAGAGGCTCTTTTTCGAGAATTCATTTTCTCTAGCTATACAATAATATTTATATACATATCTACATATATATATACCCAGTCTGACTCAACCCAGAGACATGAAAGCGAACAATATTGTTCCTAATTAGACCTGTAGGCTCTACATTATTTTACATAGCTTTATAATGTAAGAAATTTAACCAATGACAGTGAGTTTATTTATTATTTTTTCTTGATTATAGCTTGACTCCACACTGTACTTTTGGTACAGGTATGGAATTTTCAGCATGTGATATCAGTAGCCCAATTTTGCAGGCTGGCGATTGATATCGGGTGTGCGTCGGCAGGGGATCGAACCCGGACCGTGTGCATGGTCGGCGAGAGTCCTAACCGCTGTGCCACCGACGCACGATCAAATAATAATAACAATAATGTGTTGAATGTCAGTAATAACGATGATTATAGTGACAATAGGGTTTCTGCATGTGGTGATAAGAATAAAGAAGGTAGTAATATGTATATATGTAGACTATTCAATAAATAAATTCGGTCAAATCTTAGAAATTACGTAATACTAAAGGTGAAGTGGACAGATAATCACGGTTAAAATAAATATCAGAAAACTACGAAGGAAGTGGAAAACGAAAAAGGGCGAGAGGGTCATAATTAGAATTTACCAAGGCCAAGGGAGAAAAATGAAAAAAAACTTCTTTTGTATGCAAACACTATGATTGTTCTCTCAAATTCTCAGAGATTCGGCTATGTATAAAAGGTGGGTTCGAATTATGTTCAAAAGGTTCTATGGAATGCGATGGATAACTTTGAAGGCACTCCTGCTGTCCACTTGGTGACCTCTATCAGTCAAATGAATCAAAATATAACTCCTTACAGATTTTACTTAGCTTTTATCAAACCATGAAGGAAGATGGTCAGTAATACGTTGTTGAATTGTCTAGTTGTTCGCACTATATAGTTTTCTCCGCAGGAACAGCTAAATATGTGGAGGCGCATAGAAGTGGTACAGCTAGGTAGCCTGTCTTTGGCTTGAGCAACCATAATTAGTCAGCTGGAAGATGACGAACAAAGGGTGGAGGCAGCATGAGTCCTTTTTACTGCTCTAGATAATCTTAGATGTAAGACTTTGCTAGGCCACATCCCCAATGAACTGAAGTTGTTTATTTTTAACTGTTGTCGGTTTTTCCTTACTATACATGTGTCTCCTTAAAAATCTACTAGCATAATCTATTTGGACGAGCGTATTTTGGATGCATCCTAATTCATTTTCTAGAGAATCATCTGCACAGATGCTTCTTGATCTATTCGTGAGGCATCTGACCAACTTGATTTTGATTTGGATTGGTACAAAACTGAAGAAATGTGTATATTCTCCCACAGACGTGGGTTTTCTATAGACATCTCTCTTGAGCAAACCATCTCATCTTCTGTTCGATTGGACATCAATGAAGTGTAATCTACCATTATATTCTTCTTCACAAGTGAAGATGAGCGATAGGTGTGCATCACTAAATGTTATTGACATTTCATCCTTGTCAGTTACCTTATCAAGAATGATAAACATATCATCAACATAATGAGAATAACAATCCATATTATCTATTACTTGTTTCAATAGACCATTTTCGAACCTACGAAGAAAGAAATCTGAAATCTGAGTGGATGCACCTGCGCAAGTGATGCGACATCTACGGATAGCATTTGCTCCCTATTTACATTGACATCACCGTAAGACGTCTTTAACACTATGATTTACCGCTTTCTTGCGTAATGGTTGGAGAGAGCGTCGAATTCTGACAAAATAGTTGGACACATTGTAAAGGCGTCAAATCAAATTCGCGATTTGAAACCTATGCAGAGTTTGAGGTGCATATTCACCAGAATTCCCTTTGGAAACCAAAATTATTCAGATTAGAATGCATATGATCTTCCTGATATCATAAATGGCAGTCAAGAAAACAACCATAAGATGCATGGCACTATATACTACTACTGATTGACTAACATGAGTAGTTGCAGTCTACAAACATAAACTACTAACGTTATCTAGTTAGATCGAAGTGATCTAATTTGTAAACTAAGAATTTGGTAAAATAATCAATATTAAAATAATATTTTCAGAAGCATAAAGAAATTAAAATGATATTTGTCGCTAGCAAATTATGTAAATCCAAGTGAAAATTCAACAAGGTTGGTTTTGGAAAATAGAAATATTAGGACCACACAGTGTGATTTGATTCTGATAACATACGTGACACTCAAGAAAATAAGCAATTTAACAAAATAGTATACACTACTGATAAACACCAGTACTCGGAAGCCACTGATGTCAAACAGTAGTACTTGCTAGCCAAAATTGAAATAACCCAAACCCTGAACTGCCGTTCGGCTCATTTGGGGCCGAGTTCATCAGTAGCGTGACCCGGCACAGACAACCGGAAATCTTCTAATAACTACTGGTTGACGTGAGTAGTTGAGAAACAATCTTGAAAAAAGTAGATAGGAGAAAATGATCAACATAACTAAGCGAAAAAACATGCAATAAATAATACTAAGTACCATGAATGTGTGTGAATATATACAGGCATATACACTCTAAAATCATTGAAGGAAAGTGTCTAGCCTGATTTAACAACACTAAGACAAACCTCATATTCCGCTATACTGAATCCAAATCCTTGAGACGATTTATTCAGCTGAATAACCAAAGGCACTGAAGACCAAGAAGGTCGTTTAAAACCATAACGCGGATCTATTCGGTGCAGACGACGATTATGAGGTAGAGTTTGGTATCGACGTTGATTGTATTGTTGTACAACAGGTCCTGGTTCAGTGAATCTCCGACTAGTATTTGATGTTGGTAAACGCCCTAGAGTATTTGATTTCATCTGTTGTAGTTTTCTTGAGCTAAGCGTATTTGGTAAAGAATATTTACGAGTGTTATCCATTGTTGATGCATTCATTGGAAATGGTACACCATCAGTAGGATTTACATTCACATAGTTACGCCGTGGATCATATGTATGAGAATTTAGAGGCTGAAGTAACCAAGATGAATGTACACTGGTATGTAAGCATCATAAGCAATCTATATATATATATATATATATATCAATAAACTCCTAGAATATAAAATATAAACATTTCGAACACTTGATTTACTTAAACCATTTATTTCCCATGTCCACCAAATAGTACACGCTGAATTAAGTTGCAGAGTAATATCCAGGACTACAACTACAAAGTGTCTTTTGTAAATCCAGTTGTCTTTAACGTATTTCTGTGCAACAGGCCAAGAGTCTGCTATCTACTAAAGGAAGAACGGCTGATATGAAATATGTAGCACACTTATTGAAAGAGCCAATGGATTGTGTCATGAAGAAAATAAAAGGCAATTCAGCAAGGATTTTCTTTATTCATGAATTCACCTTCAAAAGCTGTACAATCTTATTTATATTTAACAAAAGATGTAGAGTAGTCTACTATTAAGTAATAGGGAGTGAGGAAGTGACATAATTCATACAAATAGTCAAAAATAGACTCGAAAGATAAAAAATTCCGTAGTGGCCAAAGACAAATTAGGAGTTAAGGGTCTGAAATTTCACAAAGCGAAAATTGATATTTGATGAGAAGCAAGATAATTGAGTGTCCACTTGACAAACGCGAAGGTGAGAAAAAACTTAGTGAAATGTACAATAATGAATTAACCGTTAGAATTAGAAGATAATAAGTAGGAAAGAATTTAAGACCATTATAGAATAGGAGACAATAAACTTTCTCTGCACACAGAGATACGGGTTACACAGATGAACAGCTAGCGCTTCCACCATATAAAAGCGCCGAAACCTAACACCTCTTGTACCATTTGGTTTTACCTGGTAGATAATTCCGAAATCAAACCTCCCATTGTACCACTGATTGTTGCGTAATGTTTAAAAACCAATTCAGACTATTTATATTAATAATGTCACTTCCTTTTTTTTTGATTTACAGCTTGATTCCACACTGTATTTTCGGTACAAGCATGGAATTTTCAGCATGGATATCGGTAGCCCAAATTTTGCAGGCCGACCATAGATATCAGGTGTGCGTCGGTGCGGGCTCGAACCCCGGACCATGTGCATGGTCGGCGAGAGTCCTAACCACTGTGCCACCGACGCACAGTTACTCACTGTTACTCAATAACAGGCTACTATACGTCCTTTGTTAAATATAAATACGATTAAACAGTTTTTAAAGATAACTTCATCGATAAAGAAAATCTCCTTAGCTGGGTTGTCTTTTATTTTTTCATGAGTCAATGGATTATATCGATGAGACAGTGCTTCAACGGCTAATCTTTGCACTCACACACTCGATGATGATTCTGTCATCACACAGACATATCTCCAAACCACTTTCAAAATATACTTTTGGCACAAAATAGATAGATAGCTCAATAATAAAATGATAAACAAAGTAGAGAACACTTTATACCATATTTGTATGTGTGTATGTATGAAACGTTTTTAGATTCAGATTACATTTAATTCAGTAATTCTGATAATACGTCAGAACAGTATTTTAGCATGATGAATGAACAATACACATATCTGCATAGGGCTTTGATATGAAAACAGCTTTAATCTAATGCCAGAAATCGACAAAAAATCAGATAATACAAACAAATAAAAAGGTCATGTGTCAAAAAACGTTAGTAGCACACGCACACGTAGATACATACATACACACCCACACATTTACAAAATTAAGTTACATCATCAATGTGAGTCAATCAATATACATCGTTCAAGCAAAACGAAATATTTGATAAGCGGATAAAGAGACCGTATCATCACGCGTAAAATTGATAACTGACTTCTCAATAGATAAATACACATGTAAAAAATTGATATTCAAAGTCAGTCTAACAGTACTTGGGCCACCATTCATCGGCAGTACACCCCACCATCTACTGAGTATATATATATATATATATATATATATATATATATATACGCACAAATATAAAACATTGCTGAATTTACATATAGCAAACACAACAACAGATCTAATAATAAATACACTTAAATCAGATCTTCATTCTGTGATGAATAAATGATAAAAAAGAATGAATGATGCGACACAGCTACCAGCATTATAGGAATTATTGGTATTTTTGCAACGAAATTTTTAAGAAAGTATAGCTGAAATACTTTCTGCTTATAGAATCAAGACTTCCTGTATGTAGGTTCATGTGTAAGTGTTATTATGCGCATGTGAAAACCTAACACTGAAGTGGTAACTTTGATCATCACAGTCATGTTCCTACTACCGTGTTTCAAAATACTTAATTTAAAAAACAACAAAATATGTTATCCACTGCACACTTTTAATGTATTAGGCTGTCAGCTAGCTATATATTGCGTACAAGAGCTTATGGTGTGTTAAGATTGTAGAAACGGAAGTAAATAAAACATAGTGTGTAAACTTGAGATAAATTTGTCAGAGTGAATAAGCCTCACACTTCTGTACTGTCTGTGAATAAGGAAACCCAGTAAACAAGCAAAAGAACTTTAACAAATAGTATACATAAGGAGAAGTATAAACATGGATGCTATCGTATACTGAAACGATATATATATATATATATATATATATATATATATATATATATATAATACAAGGGTAAATACAAATGTCTGGCACTCGCAACTATGGGAAGGTGGCTCATGATGCTTCTCTAATACCTTGTGCATCATACTTCAAGCCAAACGGTAGGCGGGGGTGGCTCCTAAAGATAACCTGCTTCGGTCTGTCAGTTCGAGAAGTATTGAGGTCCGCGCAAGAAAATTATTCGATTATGTGTGGCGCCTCTCTTGGTATCAAGCTTGTTTCAATAATAATAATAAATCTTACAACTATACATTAAACAAGTTGTAGGCGCCAATGACTAATTTTGCTTACTTTAGCAGTTCACTTTAACCACAAACTTGATACACTAAATGCACCAAAATATGTGCAAGATAATTTGTCGGGGGGTAATGTAAACAGGAAAAAAAAGAATAGACCAGTTGGGAGACAAAAGAATGAAAAGAAATGCTGAGAATATAGTTCCCAAAGAGATTTTTCTTAAAAAGTGCTATTACTACTTTGGTTTACTTTCGGGTATATGAAACTCCACTGACTACACATATACCACATAAATCACAGCTGTCCCAAATCTCATATACGAAGTCATGATGCAGCAACATACACCGACTTAATTGTGAATAACTTTCATTCCGCAGAGCTATATCACAGGCTAATGGTGGACGCATCTTTGACGATTACGGTGGTAACAACTGCCACACCAGATTGACTCATGCAACTACGCCTCTAGACATAAAATTGGAAGCTTTACCATTCACACAATAACCTGAGTAAACGTACTCTTCGACTACTGACAAGCGTTTACATAGGAGAATGCGTGTGCTCAAGGGTTCCTGTCAATCTCACAACAATACTTGGCACTTGGACGATCAAAAGCACATACCACATTCTGATGGGGACAACCGACTGTTTAAGTGAAATTTGAGTAGCACATTGAGATAATAACATGTGAATACTCACGAATTGTGTGAGAATTATTAAATCGCAATTCACCATATCGACTAATTACCATTACACATCATACAATGTCAATCAAAATTTCTATCTTATTTCATGTTAGGCCACACAGACTCATTGAAACAGCAAAAATTATTAGAATCAGTTCAAAACAAAAGAGTCACATAATCACGTAATGCATTGATGAAAAGTGTAAGTAGTAAAGTATAGTTATATTTCAATAGTTTACACACAATGATAAGTTTTGTTATTGGTAATTTTGCTCGAAATATTACCAATAACAAAACTTATAATTGTGTGTAAACTATTGAAATATAATTATACTTTATTTGATCTAATCCACAATGCTCAAACTTTTTACTGATATTAAGTGTAAGTAGTAGTTGAAAAACGTAGAGCTATTTTACCATTAATTAACGAATTGCAACACACAGAAATACCATGGTGTAGCTATCTTATCCGAGCCGAATAGGTTTAAGCGTCAGTGACAGCACTGTAACCCACTCACTAGCGAGGATGGGGCAAGCACATCTAACTGACAACCTCCAAGTAGACCAAGGCTATCACTAAAACAATCAACGTCGATATTGATACAACTGGCCAAGGAGCTCATGTGTACATAGAAAATAAGAGCTGATCAATTCAGCAAGATATATTAACGGGATAATACAATCATGAAACAATAACACCAATAATCTTCTCCCTAAGGAAGTATGAATCTTATTCACTATTTCAAACAAAGTAATTTCCTGTATATCACAAGTACCATGGATTTGTGTTAAGTACAACAGGGGAAGGGGGGCAAGGGTTGACTTTAAGCGCGACAAAAACTGCAAATAAGAACTCATCGAAAAAACAACATAATAATAATGTGCAACAGAATTTTGCTTACCATAAAGAAAAATATATCCGACTAGCCTTCAATATAGAGATCTGATGTATCTACGTATATATATTCTAATTCTAAAACGACACAGCACTTGTCCTAGAATCAATTAACTACTACTTAAGTATAGTCCATAAAGGTGTAAACGTAAAATCTATACATACATTACAATATATGAATATTTAACATATTTGTACTTTGTATAAATATGAACGCTAATGACGCCAATGAAAGTGATGTTGAAGATGACAAAAAGAGGGCCAATCAGAAGATCCACTACTAACTTACTATCTATCAATCACGATGACCAGGTAGATAGGTATGTAGATGGATAGGAGGAGATAACAGAAGTACATGACATGCAATAATATATAAGCGCATACCCTTGTTTTACAAGAAGAATGTACTTTTAAATAACTATCAAAAAATGACAATATAGCTAGCTAATTATTACCTCTCATAATTAATTGCTTCATCAACCTAACAACAATAAGTTGTAAACAAAAGGATAAACCATCCACACAATCGCATGGACACACACACACAAATGGACAAACTAGATCT